AAACAAGTCAAGGCATCATCGATCATCCTAACGCTTTGAATCCGAAGGCCACGGAGGGCTGCCAAAGACCAGCGGCGGCACTCCTCACGCGCGCATGCAGCCCGGAATGTTACGCGTCGGCGCGCACTTGTCGCCGCAGAGTGCACGCGTGCTTTGGGCCCGGCCAGTCGCGCAGCACTACCGTCGGCAGCAGGGGGCGCAAGCAGGAGCCTATCCAGCTCATCGGCGGACTCTGGGGACTTGGCAAGCCATAGCAAAATAACCTTGCACTCAGTCTTGTCGGGGGTGTACATCGAAATATTCGACGCGACGGGGGCGCGATCCGACGGCGTATCGATTTTGAGGCGGCCTATCGTGGTTGTTGTAACAGTCGCATCAGCGAGCGCCGCGCTAGGTAACGGACAGTAAATACGGCCCAAACGCGCAGCATGATCAATCACAGTGTCAACACTAGCCCTACGGGTGTCAATATCTAGATAGAGTTCGACGAGGTCAGGCAGGACGTCGTTGAACTTCTGAGTGCGCCTGCGGCCCCCTGGACCCCAGAGCCCACCGCGTGCTCTTTGGCGCCCGTCACCCTCCAAAGTAAAGTTCCAATCCCTAAGCAGAATAGTTATGCGTTCGGCAGACATCGGGGCCTCGCGGCTGAGAACGCGAAGCGCAGCAAGATACCTGTTGATTTTCTCAGACGTGTTAGGCACATGGACTTTCACAATGTTACACCGGCCGCGAGGACCTGTCCTCTCAGTCAAGAGCACTCGGCTAGTCCAAATCACGGAAGCCATTCTCAGGGGGCGAAAGGGGCTGGGAGGGTGCAAGACTACCGAACTGGCTCAAGAATGGGCTCGAACGAATCCTGAAACTGAAAATCATTGTCTGGGAAGCCGCCCGGATCTCGGACGCAGTCTCGGATCTCATCGGACGTTCACCTCAATTACAGGCCGACGTTCAATCTTTGAAAAGTTGCGGGCGAACTTCTTGCTGGCAGCAGTGACTAAGCCAGAAGTGCCCGCACTATCACGGAAGAACGTGTAGCCAAAGAGATGAGAAGAGAGTTGAACAGCAAGATGATCAATATCACCTGGGTGACCGTGGGTTCTTTGGGTAGCAACAATATCCTGAAAGAGACAGAGAGGCTCGAAGGTACACATCTTCTTCTGATCACGATCCTGACGCAACGAGTGCACGGACATGATCATACCACCAGCATTCCAATAATAGACGGAGAAAGGGGAGGGGGCAAATTGGAAAAAAGCAAACTCACGACCTGACAGCTCGCTCAGCGCTGCATGGATTGATGGCGAAGAGACAGAGACAGGCGGCGAACGATCAAACAACGGCGGCGGCACTGCTGGCTCCACGTGCGCAGCAGAATCGCGCGCATCGCCCCCGATGCAGCTCCCAACTTTCCGGTGGCGCGGCGCCCCGGACAGGCTTGCCGCGGGCATCCGCCACTCCCCATCCTAGAGGTACGGCTTATTCTGTAAACCAATGTCGATGATGAGATCAATTTCTGCATCGCTGAACTTCCACTGGAACAGCTCCTCTCGATTCGGTATAATCACGAACTGGCCGTCCTCCGTCTTCAGCGCGAAGAGCGCCCATGAGCCCGCGCCAGTTGAAACTTGAAACCTTCCAGAACCATATCCAGAACATCCCATTCGAAGCGAACCGTCCCAGAAGCCTTTGTTCATTAGCCTGACCTCCATCGGCTCCCACAGGCATGAGAGTCAGTCCACATCGATGGTGAAGTAAACGTCCACTGCTTGAAACGGGACGCCGCCTCCTCAGTCTTGAAGACAACTAAATATGAACGGCTCGTGCGTTGAAAGGCGGGTTCAGCATCTGCTACCATATCCTGCGGTACTTGAGTCTTGTACCACTCCCGGTGCTCCTTTCTGTACTGCGAGAAGACCTCTCGAGGCCAGCCACCAATCCATATGCCATATGCGGCATGAGTTCTGCTGGTCCTTCTCGTTGTGCTGCAGCGGGTCCGAGAACGTCTCAGGCGACTGGTGGATCGCTGAGCGTCTGCGGGAACTGCTACTCTCTGCGCTCGCAGCGGTCGACGGCGAACGTGAAATCGTCTCAATCTGCTCTTGGATGCTCTTAAATGTGGCCTCCATCTTTCTTTCAACCACGGCCAGAGATGAGGGAGCACCTTCTTTACAGTCATGCCAGCCGCTGCCATCGTCGACCATGATCGGTGAGCCCGTCACCTGTTGGAACCTCTCCTCCCAGCTGGTAGATAATCCCACCAGCCCTCTGGGCGTCGGTGGTTTAGAGCGTTTCCTCTTCCGCCCCTCCTTCTTCCCCTTCGGGGAGGGGTTTACCCCTCCCCCTACCCCCTCCCCACTGACCTGGACAGGGGGGGCCGCGATCGGTCAGAGCGTCCAAAACGGCCTCGGCGAGGAAGCCAAAATCATTGATTTCACTATGGTTTGGGCCCCATTTCGGCCTTCTGAAGGGGGGGGGCTCTAATTTAGGACCCCCCCTTCTTTGATCGATTTCCTCCACTATGGCCGCAAGAGGCCCCCAGGATGCCCCAAGAGGCCGCAGGATGGCCCCAAGATGGCCCCAAGAGGCCCCCCAAGAGGCCCCCAGGAGGCCCCCAAGAGACCCCCAAGAGGCCCCAAGAGACCCCCCAGAGGCACCCAAGGTGCTCCCAGAGGCCCCAAGAGGCCCCAAGAGGCCCCCAGGAGGCCCCAAAGAGGATTCCGAACGGCCCACAGAGGCCCCCCCGAGGCACCCAAGACGCCGAAAAAACCCTCAGGACGACCCTCTACTCGCCTGGGCGTCGTTTCTGGACGGGCTGGTGGGGATACGCGAAGCGTCTAGAATTTGCGGACTAACGTTTGCATATCCTGAGACATGCTGGGCCTGCAGGCCTCGCATCTGAACCTCCAGCGCGTCCGTCGCGCACGAGCAGCTCCAATCGCCGTGAGTAGCTCAGACTTCATCGAACCAATCGCCGCCAGAACCTCAGCAGAGCCCAACATCACAGCTGCTGGGGAGACTGGGGTAATCCTCGAAATTGTTCTTACACCTGAAATCCGCGTGCTTTGGCGCACGATTGGAAAAGATTTAGAGGCCTAGCCTCATAACGCTCGGGCCAACCCCTTGGCAGCGTCCAAGCTCGAAGCGCCGGGGGAGCGTTTCAAACTTGAGCCAAAATGGCTTCACCAAACTGCGCCCCTGGCCCCCAGTTTACAACAAAAGCGGCTCCCGCCTGATACTTCCTCCGAATGTATTCCCAAGTCGCGCTCTCGCGCGGGACTTCCTCACAATTGATGCAGGAGTCGCGCACCCGCGTGGGACGCCCTCGCAATTTACTCAGACGCCGCGCCCTCGGCACTCAGGAATCACGCTCTCGCTGTGGATTGTCTCCGGAATTACTAGGGAATCGCGATGTCTCTCAAGGCACTTTTTAGCAACCCGCCTGCTCGACCTGGCCGTCTGGGCCCGCCTTCCCGACCCGCCCGTTAGGGTCTACCCCCCGATTTGCCCGTTTGGTTCTGACACGTGTTTTCTGCTCCTACCCCCCCTCCTGCTACTCCCTCTCGTGCTCCATCCTCCTCCCTCCGTTGCTGTTTTTGTTGGTGTTGATGTTGTTGTTGTTGGTGGTGGTGTTAGTGTTGTTGTTAGTGTTGTTGTTAGTGTTGTTGTTATTGTCGTCCTCCTCGTCTGGGGACAGCCCGCAACCCACCAGCAACCCACTCCGCGACCCATCTTGCGACCCACCCCGCGACCCACCCTGCAACCCACCCGCGACCTACCCCGCACCCGCCCCCTCACTCTCATCCGCAACTGCGGGCTGCTGCGAACGTTTTTCGCGACGTCGGATCTCAGGGTCACTCGTAGAGGACACAAGGCGGGATCGCCAGGGAGCACTGGCACGCCTTGGGCTGGCGCCCGCGGCATGCAGGGCGTGCGAGACAGGTCGGGGGCCCGTTTCTTGAAGTCCCACGGCCCCAAATCACCTGTCGGGTGTGGAAAAACGATCGGGATCGATCTGGGGGAACCAAACATAACTAACCGAAAATCAAATCTTTCCACCTCGAAGCGGGTCCCAAAAAGGCACCAGTAAGATACCAAGCGGTCCAACAGAGGCCACCCATAAGCCCCCCAGGAGGCCCAAAAGAGGCCCAAAGCGTTCCCCCAGACGCCTCAAAACTGCCTCCAACAGCGTCCGCCAGGCCCCCAAACAGCTCCCAAGACGCACACAAGACTCCACGACGCCTCAACTGTGGACTCCCCGCCTCTTCTGGGAGTCGGCGGAATGGCGTAAGCTTCGTGAATGACCATGACGCCACTTCCCAAGCCTCTGCTGTGGTGCGTTCTGCACAACATTTCGAGGAGACTCCAGCCGTTGCGACAATAGCTCTCCAGGACGCGAGGCGGCATCGGTACCTTTTCCTCCCCTGGCGACGATCAGATCCGAATGTTTCCTCGACCGCAGCAATGGTAACGTAGCAGGAAAGTGAGGGCATTTGGACACGAAGCTCTTGGATGAGGAATCCAGGGTCTGAACGCCGGTGGAACTCCAGTCGTGGATTGGTCATGCACATCGCCGCCGCCCTCATCAGACGAGGAACTCTCCAGGATCTGAAGCCTCCAGGATCTCAAGCCTCCTGGCCACAATCCTTTAACCCAACACCCCCAACGTAGCTGTTCCTTTTCCACTGGGGGAAGGCAGTCGGAACAGATCGGGTTGAGGGCGGAGCCCTGCTCTGGGAAGGCGCGGTAATCCTGGCGGCCCCCCCAGCCCCCTTCTCCTCGTCCTCCTCCTTGTCCTCGTCCTCGTCCTCCTCCTCCTCCTCCTCCTCCTCCTCCTCCTCGATCTCCTCCTCGTCCTTGTCCTCATCCACGTCCCCTCCTCCTCCTCCTCCTCCTCGACCTCCTCCTCCTCCTGCTCGATCTCCTCGTCCTCCTCCTCCTCCTCGACCTCCGCATCATCCCTCCTCGTCATCCCTCCTCATCATCCTCCTTCTAGCGGGCTCCAGGTGCGCCAGCCGCCGCAACTGCAGCTCTACGAGGTCAGGGCCGCCACCTGCCGTGACGGGCTCGAGCGCCATGGCACCCCCACAAGGCGTCCTTCCGCCGCGGGAGGGCGACGAGGACGGCGAGAACGACGGCAACGGCGACGACGAGGACGACGACGACTACGACGACGAGGAGGACGACGAGAGGGGCGGCGCGGATCCAGATCTCCGACGAGACGACTGCTTCAATCTGGGCGCCTTTTCTTCGACAACGGCTTCCGCTGGGCCCGCCGTCGAGCTTCGGGACGACAACGCATGGACCACAGACGCAAAACTCCCTACGACGGCGACGACGACGACGACGACGGCGACAAAGACGACGGCGACGACATGGACAACGAAGACGACGACGACGAGAACGACGTCGACGACGACGACGATTGACGGCGAATGGCGACGACGACGACGACGACGACGGCGGCGACGACGACGACGACGACGGCGACGACGACGACGGCGACGTCGACGGCAATAACGACAAGGGCGACGACGAAGACGACGACACCGACGGCGACGATGACAAGGACGACGACAAGGACGACGACGATGGCAGCAGTTCTTGGGATGCGACGACAGGAGGGGGGGGGGCGGGCGATCGATGGGGGCCGAGAGCGGAGGGCGATGGGGCGAGATGACGGGGGGCTGGGGGATGAAAGACGGAGGGAGGGAGAAGGGCGGAAGATGGGGGCAGAACCATGTATTCCGCAACACCAGTCAAGGAAACCGATTTGGGCAAGACTTGTGGCCATGTCCACTGCAGCTTGGAATCTCGGGATCCCTTCACCGGAAACCAGAGGAGCACGGGATATGGATACAAATGTAGTAGCCCCTCGAGGCTCGACTGTTGTCCATCTCCAATGCGCCTCGGCCTTGCGACGCCCCTTCCAAGAAAAGACGCACTGGACACACATAGACGTATTGGCCGCATGCGAAGAGAGGACACAGAGGCGACGGCGCCAGACTGCAGAGCCCTCCAGGTCCGTAGAGCAGGCCGACTGCACGAGGCTCCCCGCGGACCTGCATGGCCGAGAGTGCGGGCTGGGCGCCGAGGGGCGAGACCCACCACAGAGGAGGAAGAACGAAAGAGGGAGGACGGGAGGCAGCAGATGGTGGTTGTGGATTGCACTGAACGCAAATGAATCAGAAGAGACCGTCTCCATCGGACTCAGGGTCGGAGTCCATCCCCGACCCGTCTCGACGGGCATTCCCTCCAAGCTCCTGGGCACGCAGCAGGTCGCACTCGAGCAGGCCGAAGGACTAAAACACAATCTCTCTCTGTGCGAACCCTGCAGCCGGATGCCAGCTCGGGGCCACTGAGACTCGGTCGACTGGCGTCGGCGGAGACAGAACTGCTGGGCTCACTGTCTCACGGTCGCCCTATCCTGACTGGACTGGGACGGAGGACGGATGGGGGGAGGGAGAGGAGCGAAGCAGGAGAGACGTTGCGAAAGGAGGAGGGGAGACGGGCGAGGGGGTGGGAAGACGGAGGCTGAGAAGGAGGAAGAGGGGAGAATGAGGTGGGGTAACGGAGGAAGAGGGGAAAGATGAGGAGCGAGGATGGAGACCGGAACAGGCAGGGGGGGGAGGATGCAGGATTGACCGCGGAATGCCTTTCACCTGAGGCATCTCGGTCCATGACCCCACAAAGTATAATAAAGCGAACCAGAACACAATCAAGCACCAAAAGCCATAGCCCCCGCAGTAGCGGATGCGTAGGACTGAGGGGGCCGGGGGATCGTCTACACTCTGCGGATCTCGAAATCACAATTGCACAAGCCCGTCGCAGGCGCCGATGTGCTACACCTTACTCAAAAGACCCCCCCCGCAGGCGCCATTTTATTGCTCCTCCGAAGCAACGTGGGTGGGTCGCGTCGGGTGGGTCGCGGGTGGGTCACGGGTGAGTCGCGGCGGATGGGTCGCGGGTGTATGTTATCACTGTGTGTGAGAAAGGGAGCGTGTTTTCTGGTCCAAGGCATGTAGCTGAGCGTGCGTTACTGGTGTCTGTTATGGACGTATGTTGCTGGTGACGGTCATTGATGCGTGTTACTGTTGTAAGCTGTTGGTTTGTTCATGTTCTTACTGATGTATCCTTGTGGCTGTTGGTGTTTTGGTCGGGCTATTGGTGCATGTTTGAAAGATTTTCTTGGTGTTTGGTATTGGTGGTGTCGTGCCTTGTTCCTGATGTATGGCAATTGTGTCTGTTAGTACTGCGTGTCCGCTGTAACTGTCGGAGACGAGTGCTGTTGATGTATGCGCCCAGTGTCAATTTTTCGTGTGCTTAGTGTGTGCATTTCATGACTGCATGAGATGTGTGCGGACGACGCGACGTCATGACTCCTGCACGGCGAGACGCCGCGACGCTTGCCTGGAGGGAACTGCCTGTTCGTCACGCCTGTTCTGTATGCCTGCTCGTTCATCGCTAAAGTCTCGGGAATCGTTGGGGTCTTGCGGCCGCGGTACGCAAGGCGGGCGAGTCGGGACACCCAGAGACGATCAGAGACGACCTAGAGTCTTCGGGCCTGGCAGCCATGGTATGCAGGGCGGGCGAGGTGGGATACCCAGGGACCACCCTGGACACACTTGAGGCCTGCCGGCCGCCGTATACAGGGCGGGCGAGGCGGGGCGGGAACGTGTTTTGTAAAATCAATCGAAAACGACCCTCTCGGGTGGGGGAAAGACAGAGCCGAACACGTTACCGGCGTCGTCGCCGCACACGTCGCCTTCGTATCCGCCATCGCTGCCGCCGTCGCCATCGCCATCGGCCTCGCCGCCACCATCGCCGTCATCATCGCCATTTGGAGGCGGCCGGAGAGTCTGAACTGGTTGGAACCCGAGAGAAGCTGGCAGGAGGTGAAATGAAGCCAAATCCACTCAAAATCAATCCCCGGACCCCTTACAGGGTCCATCGGATGCAGTTTTTCACCCGTGATCCGTTTTTTATGGTCCCGGGGCCCGAAAACGGCCACCCGAGGCTGAAAAAGGAACAACACCTTCCCGAACCACGAACCTACCTCGACCCTGCGCCCCCTCCCTGCTCGCCAGAGCCAGTGCTGGGCCACCTCAGAACCCCAGCCGGCTCGCAAACGCCGTCGCCCCCGCCGGATTTCCCGCGAGGCCCCCCGCGGCCGTCGCGCGGCGGCGCGGCGTCAGGGCGGCCGGCCCGCCATCGCGGGCCCGAGGGCCCCCCCAGCCCTGCCGCCCTCCCCTGGTCCGCCGCCCCTGCAAGGCTGCGCAGGCCGCGGGGTTGCTGCTGGACGGAGGCGGAGGGGAGGCAAGCCAAGCTTCGGGCGGACCCGTGTCGCCAATCTGGGCGATTGCGGTCTAAACTGATAGTGGGTATGCGCGGTAAGGGTGCAAGCCCCTTGGACGCTGACCATTGAAGACGGTTACGGATGGACCGAGAAGGCACGGATGCAAGGGTACCCTTGGAAAGGTTACCCATCCCTATTATCGATTCCGACTGTAGAGGCCTCCCAAACAAGGTCACTGGTCCAGTCTGCGTGATTAGGGACCTCCCGAACGGGGTCCGAGCAGATGGTGTCGGAGGGTCGCGCCGCATCGCCGATGCATCGCAGATGCATCGGCCACGTCGGTGCGGAGAAAATCGGGCTGCGCATCGAGCCCCGTCGCCGATGCATCGGAGATGCGGCGGGACCCTCCGACCCCATCTGCTCGGACCCCCTCTTGGAGGCCCAGGGTGATATGTGATATGCAAATCTCTATCTCGGCCTCGGGCCAACGTTTTCGGGCCCAAGGGGCCATCAAACATGAGTCCGGGACGAACAGCTGCCCCCCAGGGGAGGGGTCGAGACCCCTGGGGCCCACGGGTGGAAAACTCAGTCCATCGTCCGTCTGTCTGGCGAGGAGCGGCCGCACCTGGGCGGGCTCCTGGACAACCTGCAGGCACCCCGCACACTGCCGGCAAACCCCAAAAGGCCTGCAAAAGGCCCGAAGGCCAAGGCACGGTAGCGGGCTTGGACGAGCTGCACTGGATAGCTTCGCACAGACATTGCATTGACGTTGATGTTGCCAAACGGGGGAAAAGTTCGGCACATCCTTTGGAAATCTCACTGGCTTTGAAACATCTGGGGAGACGGACGAGAAAGAAGAAGGGAGGGGGGGAGGAGGAGGAGGACGACGACAGAAATGAGGATGGCGACGACGACGACGACGACAAGGGTGAGGACGAGAAGGAGGCGGAAGGAGGAGTGAAGGTGGGGAGGGATGCGGAGGGAGTAAGATCGGGACAGACAAGGGAGAGGTAGAGACGAACGACGAACACCACCACGACCACGACCATGAGGACGACGACGACGATTTCGACGACGAGGAGGGCCCTGTGCTCGCCCTGGCGGTCTGGGAGACCCATACCCCTGACGTCGCGATCTCTCCGCATCGTGTGCCCTCACAGGTCTAGACCCCTTCCCCGGGGTCGGCTTCCGAGCTTTTCTTGATGATCCTCCGGGCGCATGCTAGCGCCAGCGTGTGCTAACCCACCGAAGTCCCTCCAGTACGACGCAGGCGGTGCAACTAGGGCCGACACAGGCTGCGCGTATCGATGGACCTGATCGGGGTGAATACACGCTCGGCTAGCAAACATGGTCCCCTAACGACGCGCATCGCGCCCCGGGATGTTCGACGAGCGATGATCTTCGCACCCTCGCGAAGCCACTTTGGAGAATGGTGGGCGATGCACGAAGCGAGATTATCTTCGCGCCCCCCAGGAGTACCTACACAAACGTGCTGAGGACTAGCGGCTTTTACCTTCAACTGTCACTCCACGCTCACAAGGTCCGTCACGGGCCCCCATGTATGTTCTCAAAGGCTTCCGTCACGACTCCTCCGCGGCGCGGGAAGGGGGGCCTGGAGGGAGGGCGCGGCGGCATGAGGGCGCCTTGGGCCAGGATGACGGGGGGAAACTCTGGAGACTCTGCCTGATCGCGTAGCGATACAGGGTGAGGGGGGGAGGGGAATGGGGAAGGGGGAGGGGGATGGGGTGGAGGCGGGGGGGGGAGGGGGGGAGGGCTCGTTCTTTTCATCGATTTCAGTGCCTGTGCGAAGCGCCCCACTTGAAAGAAGACCGTCCCGGGGGCCCGCAATCAAGCCTGGAGCTCCGTTTTGAAAGAAATGGCCCTCCATCCTCCAAGCCATGAAGAATGTGGCACGGCAGTGTCATGAATAAGTTCAAAGAAGTGCCCACCTCTATGACGCTTTGAACAGGAACCACCGTCCACCGGTGCACTCGTTTCAAGGTGTTCTGATGTTGGTGATCCGGCGACTCCTGGCTGCCAGGGGGAGAAAGTCTCGGGCGAATTGGCCGGCCCGCCCTCACGACACGCCTGGTGGTGCGACAGGGAGGCACCATTTCCATAGGGCGACGAACTCTATGAATAGTCACCGCTCCCTGGCCAGGCTCAGCCTGAATCCAGCAGCGGTGTGTGTACGCCACGCTCTCCTGGCTTGGCCAGGAGGGCGTGTACACAGCTCCTGCGTTCAGGATGGGCCTGGCCAGGGAGCGGTGGATATGTAGAAATTTCGTCGCCCGATTCTGAGGAACAGAAGCGGAGTGGCAGGTGACACCAGCGGGAGAAACCTGTGGGCCCTCAGCGCCTACACGAAGTCCTGCCATTAGACGAGACCCCCTGCCTCGCGCCGTCTGCGGCCGTCTGCCGCAGGAGCGCAAGCAGGGCGGCCCAGACCGACCGAGCACACTCCTCAGAGCACCGGCGAGCGTAGTCGAACCCTCCCAATCTCGGCGGCGAGCGAAGGGGGGAAGCGAGAAGGGGCGGGCCTCCTCAGAAGGCTCGGAAGTTTCCGGGGCTCCCGAGAGGTTTCCCCAGCCTTCCCCTAAGGCAAAGACAACTTCTCAGAAGGCGCGAGGGCTTCTGAGAAGTCCCGCCGCCTTCTGAGAAGACCTTCTCTTTCTCATTTCCCCCACCCCGCTCGCCGCCGACAATCCCTTCGGGCGCGGCCAAACCGACCCCCTCCGAGACGAACCCCTTCCGTGACGACCCCCTCCCCCTCGAAACTCCCCTCTGGCCGCCTGCCCACGTACCGGAGCGAGGCGAGGGGGTCGTCCCGGAGGGGCGGGGTCGGTCGGCATCGCATCGGGAAATCGAATCGAATCGCAATGCTCGTCGAATCGGACATCGGCACAACATCGAAATCGAATCGGATCGGCTGCACCATCATGCAAACTAGCCACATGTAAGCATGGAGCCACGTCGGATCGCTGGGAAATCGAAATCGAATCGGACCGAAGTGGTCGAAATCCATACCGAGTCGGATCGATCGGATCGAAATGGGTACTGGAGGGGTCGGCTTGCTGGGGGTCGGTCATGCCGCCCTGATCCCTCCCCTCCCTTCCCCTCCTCACCCGCGACCCCGCTCCTCCATCCTTATCCCCCTCTCCTTGAGCACCGTTTCACTGATCCCCATCCCCACTGGCATGGCCTTGGCCCCACTACTGGTCAATACACCCCCCTGCAATTGGGGTATAGTCTGCTCCCTTCGGGTTTTGAGGGGCCTACCCCAAACTGGCGGGGTGATGGTGGGGCTGAGATACCCAGACCCCCGACGAAAACCTTTGTTTCATAACGCTGGCCCCAAAAGGTCTCGACCTATTTCCCGGGACCGACTCTTCATCCTGAGTAATTTGTGGACAATCCCGAGGCCGGGTAACGGCCCCCAGGTGCCGAAGATAGCGAAACTGCTTCCGTCATATTGTTTTCATGACTCGAGGGGGTCTGGGTACCATGGCCTGGGCTGGTGGGGATGGGGATCTGTCCAGCGATACTGACTCCTTCTTGCTGACTGGCGAGCTCGAGGGCGCCGGCGCAGAGGCGCCCGCTTTTGAGGCAGCGCAGGGGGGGTCTCACACGGCGGGCCAGCGCCCCCCCAGCGCGGACACAGGCGCGCCCCTCGCGCGCCGACAATGCGAGGGAAGCGGGGAGGGGACGATTCGGGGCCCCGAAACCGGGTGGTGACGGACAGCTCCGTGACTTTACAATCCCCACACCCCTCACCACGTGGTCCGTCGCCGCACGGTTTCGGGACCTCGGAGGCCCCAGTCGCCCAGGACGCCTTCGGAGGAACGGCCTGACTCACAAAACAGTGCGGTGACCCCGAGTCACCACTGACTCACCACGCGGCGTGGTAACCACAGCGTTTGGGGTCCCCTGGGACGAAAAGAGCAGGGGCGAAAGCCCAGGATGCGCCAACAATGCTACAACGCACCCTCCCGCCCCAAATCCCCTCCCCACAAGCCCCCGCGAGTTTCACTCCTCACTACCCGAAGCGCCCCCGTTGCAAGACGATCACCGTATGGCACACGGGATTGGGCCCAAATTTTGAAAAAAGAACCGCCTTGCATCCTCGCAACGATCACCAAATTTTGAAAGAGACACCACGTCCGTGTAACCGACGCACAAATAAATAACTCTGACCATTAAATCTATAACCGTCTCCAACAAAGACCCCATTTTGCAAAGGTCCCGTCATGGTCCGTGAAAGTGGTGCGCATGTTGAAGTTTCCAGCCCGCAAGCGCGATGACATCTCAAGCAAGAGCCCCATCCTAAAAGGAACCGTCATCCATTTTTGAAAACTACTCAAAACTGCTCAGACAGAGTAGTGTCGCGCTACACCGATCTCCCCATTTGGACAAACAACCCCCTCTCAATTCTTATAGCTGTCGCGAGGACCATCAGGACGCCCAGTTGAAAAACAGGTTCCGCCCTACGTCCTCGCCATCGATGCAAACTGTGAAACGTATGTGCACGGCGTCGCTGCGAGAACACTACTGTTGCAAAAATGCCCCTTTGTAGTTATCGCAAACTACTTTAAAGGGATGTGCGCGGCAAGGCGGGATCCACATTTCGAACAGCGTTATTCCTTCTCCGTGGTAGCTGTTGCGTGGTAGTTTTGCTGCATATTCAAATTGCAAGACCGCCATAAGACAGGATTGGCTGTGCGATTAGGGGAATGATCTACAAGACAAAGTTTGGCGAAGGCGAGCTAACCAGAGAGTGAACGAGGGGCCCAAGCGACAAAGGGAGAGGAAAGGAACGACCGGGGAGGAGTAGGACCTGGAGGAAAAGCGGGGATGGAGAAGGAGGGAGCGGAGCAGGGGAAGCAAAGAAGGAGGAAAAGAGGAGGAACAGGCAATGAGAGATTGAAGGGGGCAGGGAGGCCCAGCCAGCAGCTTCGCCTTAGGCGAAGCCAAGCTCCAGCTCAGCTGTATCGTAGTAGCGATAGTCCCGGCAGGAGAGGATGTGCCATCTTAGGCAATAGGAATATCCGATTGGTCTCGATAGCGATTGTGTGCTTCGCGGTGAGGCACAGTCATATTTGGGCGGCCGGCCGCTTGAGCCGACGCGGCCGCGGGCGCACGCTCGTTTCCGTTCCTTACGTCCCTCGGCTCGCTTTAGAGTCGGAAGGGGGGCTAGGGGGGAGGGGAAGGGGAGGGAGGAAAGATAAAGGATTACTGTCGACCACCGCTGGACAGGCTGCACGAAGCGACTGGCAAGCAGGCCCACAAGTGCGACGCGAAGGAACCGAAGAATCGGAGGTTGGGGGTGAGATCGCAGTGGAACGGAGACCCCCAGCCAGGAAATCGTTTCGTTTCATTCGTGTCGTGCGTGCGGGCGAAGCTGCGTGGGCGCGCGAAAGGAATGTACCCGCCATTGCTGGGGCGAATTCAAAACAAATGTTACTCACCCGTCTGTCCGTCCGTCCGTCCGTCCGGCGGTGGCCCTAGCGGTGTCCCACGGTGTCCCGTGGTGTCCCGTGGTGCCCGCCGTTGCTAGGGCGAAGTCAAAACAAATGTTGTTCCCCCGTCCGTCCGTCCGTCCGTCCGTCCGGCCGTCCGGCGGTGGCCTTAGCGGTGTCCCGTGGTGTCCCCTTGAGTCAGTGAGATAGTGGGATCGGTAGTGAGATCGATAGTGAGATCGATACTGAGATGGATGCGGTGCCCCGAGATGTCCCGCGGTGTCCCAAACAGGGAGATTGATAGTGAGATCGATAGTGAGATCGACAGGTGTCCCGTGGTGTCCCGTTGTGTAAGATCGATAGTGAGATCGATAGTCAGATCGGTAGTGAGATCGATGTTGTGTCCCGAGGTGTCCCGTGGTGTCCTATGGTGCCCCGTTGACTGAGGTCGATACTGAGAGCGATAAGGAGATCGATCGTGAGATCGAGAGGCACCCCGCGGTGTCCCGTGGTGTCCCGTGGTGCCCCGTTGAATGAGATCGATAGTGAGATCGGTAGTGAAATCGACAAGTGTCCCGTGGTGTCCCGTTGAATGAGATCGAAAGTGAGATCGATTGAGTCAGATGTTGGTTCCCCCCTCTCTCCCCCCCCCCACAACCTCCTTATCACCCGAAGGGTGGTCGTGTAGGTATGAAGTTTAAAAATTCACAGCGGGGGCGGGATGGACATCGAAAGCGGGGCCTCCGCGTTCGAATGCGAGCATGAAGCAAACATACCAATAACCTGAAACCCTCGGCGGAAGGATTCACCGAGCTTTCGATTGGGATGATTCGCGAGAATCCAGATGGGAGACCAAAGTAAAGAAATTTAGATGTTTTGGTAATGCAATGATCATCGCGCCCTCACGCTGAAACTCCGGCACACTCCACCAAACCGACCAGCACCTAGGTTCAAGGCGCTCCCACCGCCTCACAAGGATACCCTTCGCCACACCTCTGCAAAAGGCCACGACGTCGCGAAGCTCATTTCGCTCGAAGCGACGACTTCGCAGCGCCTCCACCAACTGATACCGCAATCGCACTCGAAACACGCTCCGCTCCAGCTTCGGAAGAAGCCGTGCCGACATGAGGCCCACAACCGAACTCTCCATACAATCAGATGGCGACCCTCAAGAACAGGCGTACGACTCTTAGCCTTAGGCCTCTGAAACTCCTGCTCAAGATCCTGATGATGCCCGACACCATCTAGTCGGGGTTATTGGAACCCTCGCTGGCGAGGTTCTACCATTCTAGGCGTTCGGGGCTGGGGGTCGGCGGGCCCGCGATGCCACCCTCCTCGCTGGGAGCTCCGCCCCAAATTCATCCTCCCGTCCTGATTCTTCTCGGCGCTGTCGTCGTGCGCCTCGGCGGCTCGCGCCTCGTCGGAGGCGGAGGAGGCGGCCGCAGCGCCGGCCTTGCCTCCGCAAGAAGCTTCTTTCCTCCAGGCTCGACCTCGACTCCGCATCGATCCTCGAGAACCGCGCCCCATGGGCGCCGCCCTGTCCTTGGGCAGCGGGACGGGCGGGGGCGGCGCCGCCAACACCTTGACCCCCGTCATCTCCGTGTCCTCCCCGTGGACCTTGATGTAGCAGTTGATTGGTACTGCTCCGAACCCTTCTTCCTGCGTTTGTTCTCCCTGTGCCTCCTGCTCTTCCTGGCTCGCTTGAATCCTGTGCATCCACGGTTGAAGCGGGGGCCTCGGGCGCGACCTGGAAACAGGTGGACAGGGCCCCCGTGCCCGCAAATGGTGGCGGCGCTGGCGAAAGCGGGTGCGCGGCTATCTTGCACACCGAGGCTCCGATCTAAGTCTTCGGAGCCGCAATCTGCCATAGGTCCCACGGGGGCGGGGGCAACGGCAGCGGGGCTAACGATGCAGCGGACATCAATGTCGCATCCACTGGGGACCCAAAAGGTGACGTCCGAGAAGATGACGTGCAATAAAGGAGCGCTCGGGCGGGGCGTCGAGGCAATGGCCACGCAGCTCGATCCAAAACGGCGGCTTCAGGAGGAACGAATAAGGAGGAGCGAGGAGGAAAGAGCCGGAAGGGAGGAGCGAGGAGAGAGGAAGCGAAGGAGGAGGAGGGACAAGAAGAGAGAGATACCTCCGAATAGTGACAGCATGTGTATATATACATATATTTATATACACGATAGGACCACCCTACGGGCGATAAGGAGGTTGGGGGAGGGGGGGGGGGGGATCGATGTGCGATGACTCCCACCTGCCGCCACCAAGAAGTGCGCGGGTAAGTAGGTACCATCAACTTCCGCTTGCTTCTATCTAACTTATCCATGTATCTTCCCATGTTTCTATGTATCCATCAACCCATCGCTCGATCTGTCCATCGCATCGGCACAACAATCATTCGACCAGCCTGAAAAACTATCTCTCGAAACAACCACCGGGACAACCATCGGGGCAACCATCGGGGCAACCATTGGGACAACCTTCGGGACAACCACTATCCATCGGGACAACCGTCGGGACAACCATCGGGACAAGCACTAGACAACCGCGGGACACGCGCCCGCCAGGGGGGAGGGGGGGGCGGCGGCCCTGTGGGTTCCACGAAGCCTCTACCAGTGCAGGAACTCGCGCAGCTTCGCCTCGCCCGCACGCACGGCACGAACCGAAACCGAACCGACTTCCTGGTCGGGGTTACTTCCGCTCACACCCCCCAACCTCCGAATCTATGTATACCTGTACGACCACCCTGCGGGTGATGAGGAGGTTGTGTGTGTGTGTGTGCGCGCGTGCGTGTGCGTGTGTGTGTGTGTGTGCGTGTGTGCGTGTGTGTGTGTGTGTGTGTGTGTGCGTGCGCGCGCGCGTGCGTGCGTGCGTGCGGGCGTGCGGGTGTGTGTGTGTGTGTGTGTGTTTGTGTGTGTGTGTGTGTGCGGGGGGGGGGGGGGGGGGGGCATGGCGACAACTGTGGTGAATGTGGTGCTGATGGCCGGCGATGGCGTGGATGGCGTAAGCTGATGGCCGATGGCGACAACAGGCCGAGCGGAGAAGCCCATGGGACTGTCGGATGCCCCTAGCTCCGACCCCCAACGAGACCGCCAAAGCACGCAACTCTGTCTTCGTCATGTTCTGCGCGTCGGTCGAAGTGACACGGCCCGGCCCCGCAGCCGGCATCTGCGTCGCGGTGGCGGAGACAGGCGATTTAACCTGCGCCTGGCTCGAGCTGGCAGCGCAAGACACCGACGCGGGCTCGCGCGAAGCTGCTGGGGCCGCCAGGTCGGAGCTAGTAGCGCCTGGCTCACTCGCGCCCGCCCGGGAGCCCTGTCGCTGCGTGGCCTGCGGGAGGGCGCGACGGCGCGCCGCCCGGAGCGTCTCCGAACTCTTGCTGTTCTCCCGAGTCCCGACCCCCAACGAGGTCGCCACTGCACGCAACTCATTCCGGTTCATGTTCCGCACGTCGCTGGAGGTGACATCGGCCGCGCCCGCGACCGCTTTCCGTGCAACCGTGGCGGGGGCGGACGGCGCTGCGCGTGCCTGGCTCAAACTGGAAGAGCCGGGCCCGCCAGCGCGCACCTGGCGCCCCCGCCGAAGCGGGCCCGCGTGAAACAGACGGCGCGGCCAGGCCGGAGTTGGCAGCGCCTGGCTCGCCTACGCGCGCCGAGGCCTGCACCGACGCGGGCCCATGTGAAAGTGACGGCGTCGCCAGGTCGGAGCTGTCAGCGCCTGGCTCGCCGGCGCGCGCCGGGGACGACTGCCGCTGAGCGGCCTCCCGCAGCTTGCAATCCTCGCGCACGTCTTCGACTGCGCGCCACTGCGTCGGCGCCGCCGGCTTCCTGGCGGGGACTCCAAGACTGGCAGCGTACTTCATGAGCTCCTTCTTCATGTCATCCGCGCGGCCCTCCATCTCGCGGATAGCCCGTCCGCAGAAATGCGCGAGGATGGCGCCCTGGGGAGGTAGCGCGAAAGCAGTGGGCGCCTTGACCGGAGGAGGGGGACAGTGACGGGCAGGAGAAGGAGGAGGAGGCGGAGGAGGAGGAGGAGAAAGAGAAGGAGAAGGAGGAAGAGGAGGAGGACGAGGCGGATGGAAATGAAGACGGTCATGATGATGATGGTGATGGTGGTGTTGACGATGAGGAATGCAAATTCACACAAGCAGGGGAACTGGAAGGACGGCATGGTCAATAAATGACGGCATTTATTTGTCCTCTGACGACTCAGTGGCCCAAGAACGGCACCCCCAGGCCCATGATACCAAATGAAAGTGGCCGCCATCCTCAGAGGAGGGAGGAGAGGAGGAGGGAGGCGATGACTGGCAATCGAGCCTCCGTCCCAGCAAAAGGCGAAGAGCTGACCGACTTGCGTCGCATGGCCTGAGCCCTTGAGCCGAACTAAAGATCTACAGAGTTAGGTTAGAGTTAAAACTTAAGGATACGAGGAGGAGAAGCAAGAGAAGGTGTCCCATGATGAGCAACCATGATGGTGTCCCATGATGAGCAGCCATGACGAGCAACCATGATGAGCAACCTGCTGGACAATGGTGAGCAACCGTGACGAACAACCATGATTTGCAACCATCATGGGAAACCGGCGGGACAATGATGATTTCACGATCGGTATCACAATCGATCTCACTATCGATCTCACTATCGATCCAACATTGGGTCTCACCTTCGGTCTCACAATCGATGCCACTATCGACCTCACCATCGATATCACTATCGATCCCACAATCAGGTTATGGATCCCACATATATATATATATATCACGATCGATCTCACTACTGATCTCACATTCGGTATCACTATCGATCTCAATCGATATCACCGTCGATGTCACAATCGATCTCGCATTCGGTCTTACGATCGATCTTACTATCGATGTCACTATCGATCTCACTATCGATCTCACGATCGATTTCACGATCGATCTCACGATAGGACACCGACGGGCCACCGACAGGACAATGCGGGCTCGATCTTTCAATCGATCTCATAATCGGTCTCATGATCGATCTCACAATCGATCTAACGATCGATCTCACAATCGATCTCACAACCGACCTCAATATCGATCCCACAATCGATCCAACATTCGATCTCACAATCGATCCCACTTTCGGTGCCACTATCAATTTCACGATCGATCTCACTATCGATCTCACTATCGATCCAACATTCGGTCTCACATTCGGACTCACTATCGATCTCTCTTTCGGTCTCACTATCAATTTCACGATCGATCTCACTATCGATCTCACGTCAGGACAACGGCGGGCGACCGACGGGACAATGCGGGATACCACTTGACACGCGCCGGCGGGGGAAACATTTGTTGGCGAACCGCTAGCGACAGACAGGACAACGGCGGGCAACCGACGGGACAATGCGGGCCACCGCTTGACACGCGCCGGCGGGGGAAACATTTATGTTGGCGAACCACTAGCGACAGACAGGACAACGGCGGGCAACCAACGGGACAATGCGGGCCACCGCTTGACACGCGCCGGCGGGGGAAACATTTATGTTGGCGAACCACTAGCGACAGACAGGACAACGGCGGGCAACCGACGGGACAATGCGGGCCACCGCTTGACACGCGCCGGCGGGGGAAACATTTATGTTGGCGAACCACTAGCGACAGCAGAATGAATTCTTCTCGCCCTCGCACGCAGCTTCGCCTCGCCCGCACGCACGACACGAACACGAAACCGAAACCGAAACCGATTTCCCAGTGGGGGGCTCTCCGTTCCACTTCGATCTCACCCCCCAACCTCCGATATATATATATATATATATATAAAAAAATATATATATATATATATATATATATATATATATATACATACACACGTCTATCTATACCATATTATCATACGCACCTCTCCGAGGGAGTAGAGCTCAGAGGGGATTGATGGGTCCGTGCGTGCGTCCGTCTTTGATTTTAATGGCCGTTTCGCTAGGGACATCCTCGAAATTCTGAAAATCGGTGGCACCCCTCACGCAGATCGTGAAGGAGAGGTCCAAAAACACATAGGATTCAACCATTTCTACATCAAACCTTCAAAAACACAGTGTATTTCCAATGATTTTGACCTCCTCTATGCGAGAATTGCCGTTTCGCCTGAGACACCCTCCCCAAATCGGGCCTTTGTCGAACCATCTTTGAGCAATCTGGCCGTTTCGCGAGGGACATCCTCGAAATTCTGCAAACCGGTGGCCACCCTCACGTAGATCGTGAGGGAGAGCCGACACACGGCCACAACAACCACACGCATCCGTCAGGATAACACCCCCCCCCGCCGCACACACGCCAGACCAGAATCCCCATCCCAGTGGAGAGCAACACGCGCGTTGGGCAGAAATCCCCGGCCGCAACTCAACACTCCCACCCGCCGCACTCACGACAGACCAGAACCCTGCGTCGGTATCAACATGCATTTGTTGTATGAGCCTGGGCACGCACGTGCCACTTGTATATATATAGTATATATATATATATATATAGAGAGAGAGAGAGATGCCTGGAAAGCACACTATATACACCCAAAATCCTACCCCTACGAACGCTTGAAGGTTATCCTCACCCTCCCCGTTCTCGTACTCATCGTTCTCGTCATCTGCCACGTTCGTCTCCTTCCCATCCGCCGCCTCCCCTCCTCCTCCTCCTCCGCCTCCTCCTCCGCCTCCTCCTCCTCTTCCCCATCATTCCCCTCCTCCTCTTCCTCCTCTTCCTCCTCCCGACAAGAGGAGACGGATGAGGAGGAGGAGGAAGAGGAGGAGTAGAGGGCCAGGTGTGGGCCTCGGGCTGGACCCGCCCGAGGTGGCACTGGCGGCCCACCGCGCTCACAGGGACCGGACGGACGCGGACCATCTCGACGTCCCGGTGATCGAGCAGCGGGCGCAGCTCCTCATCGACGGGCACACAGACTGGGATGGGTGCATGGCAACAGCGTCATCAGATGCCATCCGGCTGGGCCTCCTGGACGCCTTCTCCAGCATGAGGGTCGGACCGAGGGCGTTCGTGGACGTCCGCGCCAAGGCTAGCTCGCGAGCGCAGTGCGGGGCCGTGGTCAGCGCCCTCCAGGAGGCCGCCCGCCGGCACCGAGGGCACCTCCGCTACGGCCCCACCAAGACGGCGATCCCTATAGCCCGGAGCTTCGCAGACACAAGGCCCACCCACGGTCTCTCTTCTTGGACGAGTACCGGAGCCTGGGCATCCAGCGAGGGGCCCTCGGCGTGCGCGGACCCATCCCGCGGGCTCTCCTTCTCCGCCACGCAGGGTGGCCAGTGCGGCTCTCGACGCTCATGGAGGAGCGCGCGATCCGGCTCTTCAGCCGCGCCCAGGCGGACCCGAGATACGCCGAGGCAAGGGCGGTCTTGGCGCTTGCCCAGGACGTGCCCGGCACCGGGACGCACCACATCCGCCAGCTGGTGCTGCTCTGGGGCGTCCCCGAGCCGCCTGGGGCGCAGACTGGCCGACCGCCGCAGACAGATACCGGGGCCAGGTGCGGGCCGCCGCGCGCGCCCACGGCCGGAGGCCCTCCGGCGGCCGGCGGGCAGCGGGGCCACGGCTGCGGAACTCAGTGCGCAGGGGGCCACGCTGCATGAGGTCCAGGCGTGGACCCGCCTTGCCCTGCAAGGCGCCCTCCTGCGCGATGCCACCAGAGCGGCGGCTGCGTGCCGCTTCTGCGGCGTCTCGCTGGAGACCGCGGCCTACATGGAGCAGTGCCCCCCAGCCGCGGCGGCGCTGGCGCGCGCGGGGCCGACGTCTGGGCGCGCAGACCCCTCCTCGGGGATCTTCTGACCCGGGTCAATCCAGACCAGGGTCAGCAGGAAACCAAGAAACTGCAACGCAGAAAAAAAAAAATGCAACGCAGGTTTTCGCAAACCCGGGTCAGCCAATATGCGCGGCCGCCTCGCGGCAACGAGCGGCTCGCAAACCCGGGTCAGACAGAGGGGGTCTTCGCAGGATCCTGCAAGATCTGGCGCTCTGGTGGACCCCCGTTTGCATTGACCCCCGTCTCAAGGCTCCCGAAGCCTCACGCCCGCGGAGGCGCGCCGGCTGGAGGCGGCCGCAGAAGCCGCCGCCCGGAACCCCCAATGTAGCCAGAGCGGGGTAGCAGGGACGCGCGCGCTGCACCCCCCCTGGGACCCCCGGCTACTGGCCCGCCCTGCACTGCCCCTGCCCCCGCCCCCTCGCCCGTCCTCCCGGCTGGGCCCTCTTCCTTCCCCTGCGTGTGCACCCGGCCCGTCCCGCCCTGGGTCCTGGGGGCCGCCCGCTGCGCTGGGCCCTGCATGGCCGTCCCGCTGCCCTGCCCTGTCCTGTCCGCGGCGCGGCCCTGGCGGTCACCCGCGCCGGAGGTTCGTCCGGGGGCGCATGGTGCGCCGCGGGAACCGGCCCCCGGGGCCGCCCCGCGGCCCGCTGATCGCAACCCCGCGTTTGTGATCAGCGGGGCCCGCGGGCGTTCCTGGGGCTCCCCAGGCGAATCCCGTGGCCTCGGCGGCCCCGTCCGGGTGTCGGCCCCGCTGGGGTTCTTCGCGAGCGGATCGGACGACCCGGGAGCCCCGGAGGCCGCCAGCGGACGCCCGGGGGCGGCCAGCTCAGGTGCAACGTAACGCTGGTTATGCTATTCCTGCAACGGGCCACCGGCGCTGGTTATGCTATGCTCTGGGCGCCGTCGGGGGCGTCCGGCGGCGAGCTCGGAGGTGTCTGGGGTGGCCGCAGTCGTTGGCCCGGCCCGATGCTGCCCCACGCCATCCTGCTCTGGCAAGAGTGCCAACCGCGCAGTCACCCGCCCCAAGCGGGGCTGCCAGAGGCAACGCCCCGAGCGGCACTCGTCCAGCCTGGCGCTGGGGGTGCCGCAGGGGGACCCCCTCCCTGGGGGGCTGGCGGGCAGGGGCCCCCGTGGCAGCGTCGGGCGCCACCGGCCGGAGGAGGAGAAGGAGGAGGAGGAGGAGGAGGAGGAAGAGGAGGAGGAGGAGGAGGAAGAGGAGGAGAGCGAGGAGGAGGAGGTGGAGGAGGAGGAGGAGGAAGAGGAGGAGGAGGGAGGAGGAGGAGGAGGAGGAGGAGGAGGAGGGAGGAGGATGAGGAGGAGGAGGAGAGGGAGGAGGAGGAGAAGGAGGAGGAGGAGGAGGAGGAGGAGGAAAGTGCGGAGGAGAGTGAGGATGAGGAGGAGGAAGTAAGGAGAGCGAGGGTGAGGAGATCGAGGGGGCAAGGAGAGCAAGAAGCGAGGGAGGGGGAGGAGGAGCGAGGAGGACCATGAGGAACGAAGAGGATGAGGAACAGCAGCAGCAGAGAGGGGAACCAAGAAGAGGGGAATCAGTGGGAAGAAGAGGGCAAAAGCTAGACACATAAGCATTCATAACACACGAACTGTCGAACAAACACGCGGAGTTCTTGGGTCGCGTTGGACCCCCCTCCCCGAGCGCGCGGAGCGCGACAGGGGTGGCACTGGAGGCGCCGCCAAGGAGGTTCCAGCCCCAGCATCCAGCCAAGGAATCCGCGCGGACATTCGAAGGTAAATGATGATGTCACTTGTCGTTCTTCGAAGGAGGGGTGAGGAGGGCGATGAGGCTATGTTCGCCAGCGCTATGACTGACAGAACTAGTCACGCAGAGAAGAAGAGACAACCTGGACTTGAGACAACTTACGGTCGCGGGAGGGAGGAGGAGAGAGAGGGGGGAGGGAGGGGAGGGAGGGAGGACAGATAGAGAGGGGAGGGGGAGGGAGGGAAGATATCCTGAACAGGTTGAGGCGCAGAGTGTGAGTTGATAGCACGCCGCCTCACTGAGCGAGAGGGATCCTGAGGATTCGAATCATGGCCACGATGTGGCGCCCAGTCACGGGGGAGGCTCGAAGTACACGAGCCTTCGGGTGCACCTCTCCCTCCCGCGCCCCCCCGCCCTGGCGGCACCCGAAAACCTTGCCCTAGAACACGCGCTACACCACCGCACGCAAGCCGTCTTCACGACGAGCCTGTCCGTGTACACGATCGCGGGCACGACGACGAGTTCGGCGCCTCCGACACACTGCGTGCTAGATGCTGAGCCCCGTGAAACGGGAGGGGACCTTCTGCCGCAATCTCTGCACGGCCCGCAACGTCCGCTCAACCAGCACCATGTGGCTGCTGCGATCGGTCGCGAATGACTCCCAACGGCGAAATGCGAAACTATGAGAGCTGGCATCCGTGACCAAGACGTCGCCGCGCCGCTTGTTCTGAACGCGCCCAAGTGGACGAAACCGGCACCACGGCAGACACACGGCTAACTCTGTGTCTGAGGCGGGGCCGGGTCTGCGCCCGTGGGTGCCCCAGCGCCGCGGCCCGGCAGCTGCCGCGGTCCCCGCTGGCGGGGCTGGCGGCGACAGCACACTCATGTGAGAAGTCTTCCACCCCTGAGTGGCCTTTTCCTCGCCTCCCCCCCTGGCGGCCGCCCGCCCTGTCCCCTTCCCACTCTTGCATGCTGGCACAATTCGCTTTTCGGTGCCCCCGTCTAGCTTCAGCGCTGGTGCAGCCAACTCTGCTTTGTCGCCGACGGAAGAAGTGCCCGAGGCGGAGTATGCCCTGGTGGACAAGACGCCCTCCCCAAGGCCTAAGGCCGCGGGTCGGAACAACCGGCGCGGCCACAGATGAGGCTTCGGTGGCAACTCACGGGAGCCTCCCATACCATCTTGTCGGCTCGTGCGAATCGACGCTAGTCGACGCTTAATCTTGACGCTAGTCGACGCTAAAGACGGAGTTAGGAGGGAACACAAGGATCCCATGATTTGCCACCGAACGAGGCTGAAGTGCCGACGCCCCACCTCCCCGCCCGCGAGGCTCCACGAGGCCTGCCCCGTGGCCAGGAGGAGCTGCGGGAGACTCCGCCGCGCCCCGACCGTGGGCCCCGCTCACAGGCCAGCCCCCAGGGCTGCCCTGAGCCTACCCCTGGGGCCTACCCCTGGGGGCTGCCCTGAGCCTACCCCTGGGGCTCCCCCCGAGGGCTCCCCCCCCTAGGGCTTCCACCTATAGGGCCTACGTCTTGGGCCACCCTGGGCTCACCCCCAGGGCCGACCTCCAGGGGGGCCCCTCCGCGCGATCATCCCGAAGGCGCGCCCCGCAGAGGCCCAGCAGAGCGCGCGCCAGGCGGAGCGGGGGATGGCAAGCGAGGGCCGGCAGGGCCCCCCCCCTTCCACCACCACAGCGCGGCCCGCGGGCCCGTCATAGAGGACCAGCAGCATGCAGGCCGCGGCCGCGCGCCTCCCCGAGAGCCCAGGCTGGCGCGCGGGGCGCGAACAGCGCATCCAGCGGCGATCAACTGCAAGTGCCATGCGAGCCCGCCTGCAGCTCTGAGGCGCCAAGCAGGCCCAACTCCGCGGCCACGTCGAAGACGGACGCGGCGATGAACGCGAGCGCCAAGACGAGTGGCGTCAGCAGCGGAGCGGGCAGGCGCCCATGGCCCGCGAAGCAGGCGGGGCGGAGGGATGAGGGATGAGGGAGTTGGAAGGGGAAGTACGGGGGGGAGAACGAGGACAAAGGGTACAGGCGCTCGGGAAATCTGGCGACAGTTACGCTGAGAGATGGACGAGGATGAGGAGGAGGAGGACAAGGACTACGGCTACACCACGAGGCAGACCGCCTATTGTTGCACCTGTATCTCGCTTCCTCCATCGTCTGGCTCGTTCCTCGGTTATTGGTGCTATTCGTTATTTCGGTTGTAGGCCCTTCCCTTTCAAGAACTATGTGGCGAGCGTCTCATCCGAACCATGGGAGTTGGGGGCCCTGCTTCCTCTTCACCTTTACGATTACCACGCACCATTTGCTGCACACTGCGCCTAAGTCGGCATTGCAACGCTTGTTCCACCGAACGCAACAGCCACGAGATTGTGTTTGGCCTAACAAAGGAAGAGGAGGAGGGATGAGGCCAGAGGGAGGAAGGAGGCAGGAAATGGACAAGGGGTGGGGAGGGGAAGGGAGCAGCCAGGAGGGAGGAGGGAGCTGGAGGAAGGAGTAGGGAACACAGGGGGGAGGGAAGAGGGAGGAGGGAGGGGGGAGCACGGAGGAGGAGGAGGGGAGGGAGGAGGGGAGGCGGGGAGAGATTCCCGAGGAAGGGCTCGCCGCCCTGGCGCCGCGGAGGCTCCTGGCCCTCCCGCGGCCGCCCCCCTCCGAAGGGCGGGCCGCGACGGCGGGGCCAGCCGTCCGGGCGCCGAGACGGGGGGCCTCCGGGTGCCAACGCGGAGCGCCGCCGACGCCGCCGCCGCCGCCGCCGTCGATGTCGTCGTCGTCGTCGCCACCACCGCCGCCGCCGACGACGACGACGCCGCCGCGGCCGCGGCAAGAGGGCGGCGACGGCGACGGCGACGCTCCTCTTCGAAGAGATCGCTGCTGTGGGGCGTGGCTCGCCGTGGTGGCCGAGGCCCTCGAGACCCCCGCCGCTTGCCAGCGCCAGGGGAGAGGGAGGAGACGCTCCTCCTCCTCCTCCTCCTCCTCCAGCTTTCCCTTATGAATAACTCCTCCCCGTCGCAGCCCGAGGCTGGTCGAAAGTGCGAGCTGGGCGTTTCGCCTGAAACTTCCTTACCATTTATGATGCTGAAGCTTCAACTTTGCAGAAATTTCACAGATGGACGGCGAACGGTTTTCAATATGTGGTTCTCGCCATAGCGCCGCGCACATTCGTTTCAAACTCAACATATTCACGGATGCGGTTCCTTTTCAAAATGTGGTTATCGCCTTAGCGACGTGCGCATTTGTCTTAAGAGTTTACAGCCGTTTCCGGGACACTCATGGTTAACATTACAAAGCAATCTGTTTCGGAGGTTTGGCACGGTGTCGGGCCGTCATGGCGCAGCAAGCACTTCGATTCGTGTTGAAGTCCGAGACATGGTGTTCTGTCATGGCTCACGACCGTCAAGACGCAACAGCAACGGTGGTTCGCGGCGTTGAAGTCCGAGAGCGATGCTCTGGCACAGTTCGGGGTTTACAAACAGCTGTGTTCCAACGGGGAACTACCCTGAGTGAAATTAAACCCCTATATGGGGCCTATGAACAGGGAGCTTGGAGGCAGGGTTTATTGTAAGACCGTTGATGAACATTGGGTTTGCAGTGGTCCTCCTTCTCCTCCTCCTCCTCCTCCTCCTTCTCCTCCTCCTCCTCCTCCTCCTCCTCCTCCTCCTCCTCCTCCTCCTCCTCTTTCTCCCCCATCGAAGCCCGTGACGCCTCCTTGCTTCTATCCTCCTCTCTCCTTCCCTCCTCTTGCTTCCCCCCTCTTACCTCCCCTCTCCCTCCTTTCTCTTCCCTGTATCATTCCTCTCCCTCCTCCCCCAAGCCCCCCGTGCGCGTCCCCTCCGTCAGATATCCTCTTCCTTTCCGCCCACCCGTCCCTCGTGGGATATCCGACGCCAGGATTTGTTCACAACGTGATCACCTGGAGGTCTCGACCGCTTTCCCGGCACCAAGCTCCCACACCAAGTCGTCATTTGACGGCCACGGGGCCGGGCAAGGGCACGCGAGAGATTGAAAACTACTAGAAAACCTCCGCTGTGCTTTTTGTCTCATGGCGAGGGGAGGCTAATGTCCCCCCGTCCTCCTCCCTCCCCTGACTCGGGCGCGCCGAGCCGAAAAAGGGGGGCCAGGAAAAGGGGGGGTAGCGCACCGTGGCCCGAGGCACGCGTGCGGTCTGGAGGGGGGCCAAAAAATGTGTCGAACAAAAGCAAAGGCTGCCATGGCATCTCGGAGATGTCGTGGCCACGGCCATGAGAAGCTCCCCGTACAGTCATCGTGCAACCAGGAGGAATGCCGAATTCGCCTGCCCAACGGGAACTCCCAAAGGGCCCAAGAGCAGTGAGGAATGGGTGGGGCGGCCAAAAATGGCTCGAAGACACCCTCCATGCCTTACGATAGCCCGAATATGGTCCCACACAGCCTCAACAGAGCCGTCAAAAGGCTCGAGTTGCTTGGAATTATACAATTCTTCAAATAAAATCTGACGTCGCTGGATGTTTGAGCTTCCGATTGCCGCACACGGCCCAAACGACTCCAGGATCGGCCCGCAACAGCCCAAAAAGGCTGGAACGGCCCCCAATAAAATGCCACAAAGAGGCCCCACAACAAAACAAGAGGCACCCGAAGCTCCGGAGAGGCTTCAAGAGGGAAAATCCGAAATCACATGCCGGGCCCTTCCCCCAAATATGGCCTCCGAGACTGCCAGGAGGCCCCAAGAGGCCCCCAGAGGCCGCCAAGACCCCCGCAAGAGGCCCCAAAACGAGCCCGAGAGGCCCCACGATCGAGACTCCAAGAATGCCCCCGCGAAAAGGCGGGCAAACGCCAACGATGTTACAATGTGAGCGAAGCGATGGGATAAAGCAAGGCGAATCGTGTTTTTTTCCCCCCGGGCCACGGCGAGCTTCGGTCACGAATGGGCCCCCCGACCCAGATCCGAGCCCCTGCCGAACCAGTCCTGCCTTACGTCAGCGTCTCGACCGTGGCCCTCCCCTTCTAGGGCGATCGGTTCCACGCGCCCCCCCCCATCGCGAGCTGGCCAGGGGGACGCGACGATAGAACGATGCCTACAACGCAGATTCTCTATCTCCCTGATCGTCTCTCGTCTCTTTACCTGTCCGTTCTGTTTGTGTCGTTTCGTTGGCTAGTTCGTTCCACGTCTGATGTATCATTTTTATAATGAATCAAAAAGGGACTCGTTAGCGCCGACCCCGCTGCTGGCTCTCGGGCCTCTGCATGGGCCTCGGGAGGCCGATCGAAACGCCTCTTGGACCAACGACGAGACGACGCCGCCCCACCCACGGCCCGACGGCGTTGGAATGTCAAGCACTCGACCCGCGCACCCTCGGCTCGCTATTGCGAGGAACCCGCAGCGGTGTCGGGAAGCCACCGCGCCACGTCGGCGCCGAACTCCGCCCAGGCGCCATTCGCGGCAGCAGCGACGTGGGTTCCAGGCACTGGACACGCGAGATTCCCCGTCACTGAGTTTACGCCGTTTGCCTCGCATAGTACCTCGCGGTGCCGTTCGGCGGCACGCTGTCGCCACTCGTCGCCCTGCCTTGCCCAGCGACGCGCGCAACGCGCAAACCGCTAGCGTTGTTCAGAACAGCGTCGCCGCGCCGCGTCGAGCTGATACGCGTCGCGCTTGCGGTGCTCGCCGCGCTGGCTTGCGTTGTGGCGTTTGCCCCCGCCGCGTTCGCGCGTGGTGCAAACGAGGGGGGGTCCGGGTCGCGCTGCGCGTCGCCGCGCTGATCCGCACTGCGACGATGACACCTGCCGTGGCGATCAAAGTCGCGTTGCCGGCGTCCGTAATTTGGCCCCCTGGTGACTGTCGACATGGAATTGTTGCGTTCGGTCGCGCTGCTCGGCGTCGGGCCGTTCGCGCCCGTCGCGCTGCCTTGCGTCGCGGTCATGGCGCCCGATGGGGCGCCCACTTTTGCGCGGCCGCGACGAGCTTCGCTCGCTTAAAATATGCCCCTGGGAGGTAGTCGTGGCCAGCTGATCAACACCAAGTCGCCGGCGCCCGCCGCGGCGCTTACCGATGGATATCCGCTGTGCCCGTCACGCCGGCTGGCGTCGCACTGGGGGCGCGCGTCGCGCGGCCCTGTGGCGCCCGTCGAATGGCCCAGCGTTGCGCTGGTGGCAGCAGGTGCGCTTGTTGCCGCAGAGCGGCACGGGTTGAACCGAATGGCAACGGAGGATGGGGGGCGGGCAGCAGGCGGGGCACGAGGAACGCGACGGGGCGGACAACGCGGCGGCGACGCTGGCAGCGCCCGCGCCGCCACTGCCATCGCCGCGCCCCGCATAATCAGCAGCGGCGCTTTGACAGGGGATCAAAGAGAACTGGGAGGGGTGGGAAGGAAGGGGAAAGAGGAGGAAGGAGGGACAGAGGGGGGATGCGCGGAGAGGGGGGAAGAGAAGCCACGGGCCTGATTTACGCACAGGGGCGGGGAGGGTGGAAAGGGATGGCGAGGAGGGGGGGGCGAAGGAAAAAAAGGGGGCAGGGGCGATGCGCAAGAGAAGACCGAAGGGGGATGGGGGGGAGGGGGTAGCAGGGAGGAGGGAAGGGGGGGCGGGGAGAAGAGGATGGAGGCAGGGCGGTGGGGCGAAGAGCGGCCAGGGGCCCGCCCGCCTTGTCGAGGCTAGGGGGGGGGGCCGCAGCGCGTGCCACCCGTCTGCCCTGTACTTTTACGTGGTCTACGCTACGGCCCTGCAGTGGCCGCAACGGACGCCGTGGTTTTCGTGCGGCATGCGCTGCGGCCCCGATCGGGTTCTGTCGATCAGCGGGGCGGCCTGTGCGCGCGCGCCGGCGCCCCCCTCTGGGGCCCCTGGAAGGCCTCCCTGGGGAAGGGGCAGAGGGCCTCCGGAGGAACCGCGCCTCATCGCCTCATCGCAGCGCTCTTCTGTGCTCCTCGGCCTGCCCCTTGGCAGGCCCCGCCTCTGCGGCCTTGCCCCCGCGTCCCCGCCCGCTCCTGCTCTGGGCCCCCGCCGAGCTCCAGCCCGAAGCTGCGCCTCTCCTTCCAGCTGGAGGGCAGCGGGTGGATCTCTTTCGCCACCCCCCCGATCTGCCCCTCGGGGCCGATGGTAGTATGGTAGTTCAGTCTTGACCATGTCAGGCTGAGTTTGGCCGTCAGTCTGGGGGAGGCGTTCCTAAAATTGAGTTCTTTCCGTCCGCGCCCGGAAATATTTCCCGCCAGCAGCGCAGTCAGAGGCATCCTCCGCGCGGAGGAACTGGTCGATTCCATGCGTCCCACGTGCTCGATTGCCTCGGCTGCCAGAGTTGCCATGATGGCCGGCTCAGCCTGAGCAAGCGGAACAGCGTGCCCCTGAACTGGTGGAGGCTCCTGGGCAAACTTCCAGAGAAACGGATGGTATCGATCGCCACGTCGTCCCCTGAGGTAACTGGAAGGTCCAATGCGGATTTCTCAGTTGGCCTGCTGAGCTGGGTTGGACACCTCGCCAACTGGTCGTTTCGTCGGACGCCGTTGGAGAGGACGCGCTGGAGTCGGAGCTGGAGTCGAATCTGGCGTCGGGGGCTGTGGTGCCCCTGGAGGCTGACGAGGCTCTTGGGGCACTGCTGGTCGTGGTGCCAATATGAAGTCCCGCTTCCGAAAACATGCGTTCCCGGTGGTCGTTGGGGTTATCCTGGGGCGCCGTGGAAGTCTCCTCTGTAGAGGCCCAGGGATAAGCACCTGGAGGCAGGGGGGCAATTCTTGCTTCGTCAATCCAGACAATGCAGGCGTCCGCCGACAGTGCTCAAACGCTGGCGCCCATCCTGCAGCACTTGCTCCACACGTTGGTCCGCTCGAGCCTGGCTCGTCGTTGCAGGTCGCAACTGAGAGGGGTCAGCCCGAATGATATGTCCCCGGTGTGATAACCGCCAAGTCCTTCCTTTTTGTCCGATCACGATCCCCCGCCGCGCGACCTAGCGCGTCCCTTCTTGCCCTTCCTCCACTGCGCTACCTCCCCGGGCTGGAAAGGGTAGGCGACTCGGATCCGGGCCGCCACGGCACGACGCAAGTCCGGGCCGTCCCGAGCCTGCATCAGCGCCTGCAAAGCCTGCCATCGTATCTCGCGCGCTCGCGCACACGCACCGTCGCGCGAGGGCCCGACGCACTGGCCACATCTACCGAATCCTGCAACAGATCCCCAGGCAGACGTGGTTCCTGACCGAGCGCATGTTGGTAAGGCGAATAGCCACCCACACGCAACATTCGCTGCTTGGCATCAGTCGTGGCATCGACACACTCAATCTACTCTTGATAATCATTCGGCTGGACTGTCTCCAACAGACGCTTGAAAATCCGTTTCCACCATCCCCCGCGTGCTACCATCTTTCCGTTCTGCCACTGCCCCTCCCCAGCTACTGGCCCCTTTCCAGCTACTGGTTTCCCCAGATACTGGCTTCTCCGTTCCGTTCTGCTCCTCCTCCTCCTCATCCTTTTCCCCGTTTTCTCCTCCTCCTCCTCCTCCTCCTCCTCCTCCTCCTCCTCCTCCTCCTCCTCCTCCTCCTCATCCCAGCAAGCCCGTCGGAGGTGTCCCCCCTCGCGGAGCCTTCGAAAAAGCAGCCCGCGAGCGGCGAGAGCGCGCAGACTGCGGGCCGCGCCCCGGGGCCCTGCCTCCGGCTCAGGGCCCGAGGCCCGCCGGCGCCTCCCACTGCGTGGCGTTCGTCGCCTTGTCCTCCGAGAACGGGGGATCAGAGAAAAGACGCAACCGCGACCGCGTGATGAAAAAATAACGACGGAATTTGTTGCGCTATTTTCGACCTCTGGGGGCCCTTGCCGGGCCGCGGGGCCGTGAAACAACGACTCAGGATGAAATACCGTTCCGGGGAATGGGTCCAGACCTCCGGGGCTCGACGAACCAATCACGACGTCCGAGTTCTGGGTTGAGGGGGCCCACGGACACACACACACACATGCACACACACACTTTTTCCGTCGGCTGCTAGTCAGAGCGACTGCGCTGGCGGAAGAGCAGTGGACGAACAATTGCGAATTAAGCCGCAATGCGCGGAGGAGGCGAACACACATACAGATTTGTGTATACATATATATACATATATAGCACCCCGCAATTGCGGATAAGAGTGAGGGGGCGGGCGCGGGCGACGCGGACGTCGTCGAGCCGGCGGACCTCGTGGCCCCCACCTTCCCTGTCGATGGCGCTCTCCTCCTCCTACTCCTCCTCTCCTCCTCCTCCTCCGCCTCCTCCTCCTCCTCCTCCTCCTATTCCTCGTCCTCGTCCTCGTCCTCGTCGTCATCGTCATCCTCCTCCTCCACCTCGTCCTCCTCTTCTTCCTCGTCCTCCCTCTCCCCCCCTCGTCCTTCCATCATCGTCCTCCCATTGTCGTCCACCCCCTCATCGGCCTCCATCATCGTCCTCCCATTGTCGTCATCATCATCATCATCCTCCCCCTCCTCCCCCTCCTCCCCCTCCTCGTCCTCCTCCTCCCCCTCCTCCCCCTCCTCGTCCTCCTGCTGCTCCTCCTCCTCTTTCTCCACATTCTCCTTACATCCTCTCTTCTTTCGCGTCCTCCTCGTCCCCTGTTTACTCCTCCTGCCTCCCCCTCCTTTCCCAAGATAACGGCAACGCAATCTTTTTTTCCACTTTATGCTCCCCGACTTCTCTGATCAAGGCAACTCGCCAGGGCAAAGTTGCTGGACGGGCTGGTGTGGATGCGCGGGGCTTGAAGAGGTCGTTGCGGGCGCAGACGGCATGCAAAAATCCGCCGCCGCGCTTGTGCGGCATTGGTTTGTTCAGTGAACGTGGTTTGGGTCGCGGGTGGGTCGCGGGCTCTCCACCTCCACCTGGAAGGAATGCAAAAGCAGCCCGCCGCAGGCGCCGAAAAAATTGGTTTGTACACTGAACGTGGAATGGGTCGCGGGTGGGCCGCGGGTTCTCCACCGGGGACGAATGCAAAAGATGCCCGCCGCAGGCGCCGAAAAAATTGGTATGTACCCTGATCGTGGTCGCGGGTGGGCCGCGGGCTCTCCACCTGAAACGAATGCAAAAGATGCCCGCCGCAGGCGCCGAAAAATGTGGTTTGTACCCTGAACGTGGTTTGGGTCGCGGGTTGGTCGCGAGTTGGTCGCGGGGTGGGTCGCGGGCTCTCCACCTGGAAGGAATGCAAAAAAAGCCCGCCGCAGGCGCCGAAAATGGTGGTTTGTACCTTGAACGTGGTTTGGGTCGAAGGTGGGTCGCGGGTGGGTCGCGGGGTGGGTCGCGGGTGGGTCGCGGGTGGGTCGCGGGTGGGTCGCGGGCGGGTGGGTCGCGGGGTGGGCCGCGGGCGGGTCGCGGGGTGGGTCGCGGGTGGGTCGCGGGTGGGTCGCGGGGTGGGTCGCGGGGTGGGTCGGGGTGGGTCGCGGGTGGGTCGCGGGTGGGTCGCGGGGTGGGTCGCGGGGTGGGTCGCGGGGTGGGTCGCGGGGTGGGTCGCGGGGTGGGTCGCGGGTGGGTCGCGGGTGGGTCGCGGGTGGGTCGGGTGGGTCGCGGGTGGGTCGCGGGGCGGGTTGCGGGTGGGACGACGACAACAAACAACAACAACAACAACAACAACAACAACAACAACAACAACAACAACAACAACAACAACAACAACAACAACAACAACAACAACAACAATCATTTTACCCGAACGCGTGTTCTCACCAGTGCCAGGGTTTTCATACGACACCAGGCAATACCCCCACTTTGTGGGGGGGCAGTTCAAGCTCTACCAAATATCCAAACGACTCTTCGCCACCACCCACACCCAGCTTCCCGCCCTATGACGTTCGGACACTTCACTTCGTGGCCTGCGGACGACCGTGGCTACTACACTGGCGTGGAGTACACACCCACAGAAGTTGTTAGGACAGCGCGCGCGGGTAGAAATTTTGAAAAGTCGTGCAGGTGTTTTTCGAGGACCTACGGTGCGATTCGTGTGATTTTATGATGCGCGGTGCTAAAATTCTTAAGAAGCCCAATGGTTTTTGGAGATTTCGGCGTGCGCGCGCGAAGAAAAAACGAATGTGTCCCGCATGGTATTATTTGACAGGGATGATGGCCCTGGCAGGTGCGCAACCGTTGTCGCAGAAGTTCGAAAAAGTTGCTCGCAAAAGCCCGTTTGACAGAAATGTTTAAAAAGTGTTGGGTTTCCTACGAATCCGCAAGAGCGCGCGGGATGAGATTTTGACATTTTTTTGTTGAAAAACCATTGGTTTTTTGATGTTTTTATGTTAAAATCGCTCCGAACACTAAGCTTTTGGAAGGATTTCGTCTTGCGCGCGCGAATGTCCACTTTACCTTATTTTTTGCAAGGGATTCTTGAAATTTGATTATATTAGAACAAGAAATGTCATTTTATAGTGTTTTTTGCAAGGGAAAGCGGGGGGGAACAAAACAACCGGATCTTGATCACATCGAATTACCTGAGGCTTCCTCACGAAAATGATGAAAATGTAGCTGCGGCCTAGGCGGCGCAGGGGGGCCGTGCACCAGGGGTCCCAACAATAATTATTCTTTAGAATTAATAATGTTCAACAACAACAACAACAACAACGAGAATCCGCACCGCGAAATCCCACTTCAGCCACGCACCCAGGGACAGTGAATGACCGTTCGGCCCCCTCACTGTGATATATATATATGTGTGTGTGTGTGTGTTTGTGTTTGTGTTTGTGTTTGTGTGTGTGTGTGTGTGTAAAAGCACAAAAACCGGATTCGATATATGTTCCATACTTCCTAGAGGTTCGTTTTCCCTTCCACTTCCCATACTATTTCCCCGATTTTCCGGGGCACTGGTGATTATGTGTGCCTGTGCGTTCCTTTCCCTCCTGAGATACGGCGCGGGTCGGCGATTCCAAAGGGTGTGGCTTGCAGAGGGTGTGGTTTGCAACGGGCACCCTGGGGGGGGCACCCTGGGGGGCGGGCGAGGACCTCGACGGAGCTCTCCGCCGCGCCCCGAGGAGGCCAGACGAGGCCAGCGTCGGGCTCCCCAGGCCCCGACGTGCCGATCGCAAACCACACACCGGCGTGACACACCGTCGTAACCATACCCTTTGTAACCGCCGAGTGGGGGCGCGCGCATCCCTGCCCTCACCATCCCGGCCCGTGCTTCTTGGCACCTGCATGCTGCGACGAAGCAGGGTCTACTCTCAGCCATTGGTTGCAAAGCGCGGCGAATGCGTGGCACGCTAAGACGGGAAAGGACGACGACAGAGGGCAGGGAGGAAAGACGGAAACAGCACACGACGGCTTAGGGGGTGGCGTCGACAAGGGGGCGATCAACGGGGGGCGAAGAAACGTGCACGCTTCGTGCCCCTCTTCGTTCCAGGGGGCCCCTTCAGGGCCCCTCAGGTGCACAAAAGGGTGTACCTTCCTTCCCCCCTTTTTATCGCCCCCCCAATACACAACGCCCGGATGTATCGGGCGCCAGTGGGAGGGGTCGGATTGAACACAAAAACTGCCTACAACAATTTATTTGAGGTCCGCGGGGACATCCGAGAACTTATGTTCATGTGGGGCGTTTGTCGCTCTCCAACAAAAAGGGGGCATCGAGACAAAAAAACAACTGCATTGGCACCGTGCTGTAGCCTCCAACTGTGGCCGCAACGACCCGGGACAACCTGCCAGTGGTGAGCGCCACGCGTGCCACACACACACACACACACTTTTGAGTCAGCGGCGCTGAGGGTCCTTAAGCGCGAGCAACACACACCCACAAACACATACACACACACCTTTTGCGACGGCGGCGAGGCAAAGGTCGCCTGCGCTTGCGGAAAGGCCTAAACTGGGGTGCCACCACGCAGGAGGGGAAGAGGCGGAGGACGCGGCAGAAAGACGGCGGAGGGAGCAAGCCGCCCAGGGTCACCCACACACACACACACACACACTCACACCGCACGTCGCACACGCACGGGTACGCGCACAGGCGCGCCGAGCGCACGACACACGCATGCATACGGATGAGAACACGATTGAACCTCTGGATAACGAGGAGGAAGAAGAGAACAAAGAGGAGAAGGTTCAACACCCGCCCAGCGAGGAACTAAAGAGAGAGAGAGAGGAAGCATCCCGCCAGCCCTAAATGGATAGGGCCCTTCCTCTCCAACCCCCTTCCTCTTCGGGGAGTCTATCACTGTTCCATATTCGTAATTCGCCCCAACTCCCACCTGACCGGCGACAACCCCAGAACACTGCCACCCCCATATCAGACCTTGCAACAAAAAACATACAACATGCACTTTGCAACAACATCTGTATGATGCGTGAACGCCCCGCGATCACTTTGTATTGGCTTTTGGAATGTGCGACCGGGGGGGCAGACCGCCTGTTGCGCGCAATGCAAAACCATCCCCACGTATCATCCGTTCAAAGAGCAATACAAAGTGCACTTTGCACCAAAATCTGGATCATGCGCGGGCGCCCCGATATCACTTCGCATTTGTTTTAAGGACGGCGGGAGGGGGCTGGCATATTGCCTTTCGTCTGCAACGCCAACCTCCAACAAAATCCGTTGCGATAACCATACAAAGTAAACAATATGCCGAAGACACACTCGTTTGGCCGACGGCGGCTGCCCCGCTGATGATGCCGCGGGCCTGTCGCAACGAGCAGCGCCCCGAACCCGTGTCTTCTGCCATGGGTGCCCCCGAACAGACATCGCGCGAATCTGTCCTGCCGCAATTAGACTTTAACCTGCGTAGCGGGAAAACCGTAAAGACTTTCTTTGTGTGATATTGTGGTCGGAGAGAGTTACGTCATCTTTGATTTACATTGGAAGCACATGTCAGCCCACGAGTGGACGAACATCGACACATCAACATCGACTTGCATCCTAGCCGCCTGCCTCTCACAATCTATGTGGATCTCACTATCGGGACAATTATCGGGACAACCATCCAAACGCCGTGGATACGGCTCCGCCGTGCTCTCAGGCGTCGGAGTGTTACATTCTGTCGTACTGTTGCGCATCCTACTGCTGGGACCTGTCGTGCCACGAAGTGTTGTACTGCTAGCGAGCACCATCGGAAAACAAACATCGTTTCCTGATGATGATGATGATGATGATGATGGTGATGATGATGATGATGCTGACGCTGATGCTGATGCTGATGATGATGATGATGATGATGATGATGATGATGATGATGATGATGATGATGATGATGATGATGCGTGGGCGCCCGATGCCAGGGAGAACGCGTTCCGTTAATTGGGGCCGGTGCTTTGCGCTCCCCAGGGGAGCCGCCCTTCTTAATGAATGCTTGGCACTTCGCCTGAGGGGAGATCCAACCTCATGAACTCAAGTGCTGCCTGTGTGTTGGGGGGTCGTAGCTTGATCACTCCTCCTTTTTCAATATGCACCGTCTTCCCTCCGAACGGGAGACGAACTCGGAACCATGACAACACCCCCACACCATCCTTATCAAAAGGCAATGCAACACGCACTTTGCGGCAAAATCTGGATCATGCGCGGGCCCCGCGCGATCACTTTGTAGTGTTAGAGTCATCCTAAATGGGGTCGGAGTAGATGGGGTCGGAGCATCGCGCCGCATCGCGGATACATCGGCGATGCATCGGCCGATGCATCGTCGACGTCGGTGATGCATCGGCGACGTCGGCGTGGAGAAAGTTGTGCCCCAAATCGAGCCGCATCGTTGATGCATCGGCGATGCGGCGCGATCCTCCGACACCATCTACTCCAACCCCATCTAGGAGGCCTAAAACTGTTTATGATAGGGACGAGGGGTGGGTCTGGCACATTGCCTGCTGCGCGCAGGCCCATCACCCGTGTCAATAAGAACCGTGCGAATTACAATCTGCGGCAGGAACTTGATCATACGCGGGCGCCACGCGAGCACTTCGCAGTTATCGGGCACGGTTTGGCGGCGCGCGCAAAGGGGGTAGGGAGAGGGGGGAAGGCGTCTTAAAGGAAGGCTGCTTCTGCTTCTGAGAAGCCGCCAGCCTTGCATCTACAGAGAAGGTCCGCGCCTTCTAAGAAGCAGGTTGCTTCTAAGACGCATTCCCCCGCCCCCCTACCCCCCTTTGCGCGTGGCCGCATGGTGATGCGGGGTGCCCCGGCACACGCGGCGCACCTCGCGGGCGTCGCACACCTGACTGGCGTCTGCACTGGTTCCCCATGATTGATCACGGCGGTGCCTGCCCATGCTGAGACTCGGGTGTTGCTTGTGTGGTGAGGGGGCGGATGGGAGTGAGCGAGACGGCCGTCCTTCGAGGGGTTAGCTTGACCAATGCTCCTATCCTCATTACCCCCTCCCCCATCCGACCGACGACAAACCCGGGCCAATGCGACCCCCCCACACCATCATCCCTGCCAGCAAAAATGCACACATCACTTTGCGGCAAAACCTTGGGCCATGTTTGGGAGGCCCGCGAGTACTTCGTTTTGTTGTGTGTACAAAGACGGCGAAGGTGCCAGCATGTGGCCTGCTGTGAGCAGGGCATCCATCCCTGCCAACACACACTTCAAACTGCCCTTCGCGGCCAAATCTGGATCATGCGCGAGCACCCCGCGATCACACTGCACTGGTTTTTGAGAGGAACGGCGGGGGTGCTGGCATAGTGCCTGCTATGTGCAGGCCCACCAGGCATCATGGTGGCCACTCCGCCTCAATTGTGCATTGGTTTTCGACAAGGTCGGTGGGGGCCGACATGCTTCCCAGTGTGCGCAGGCGCACCTGGCACACTCTGCGCGTGCCCCGAACGTGGCTCACCTGGCGCGGCTCGAGCATGCTATACACTTGGCGCACGTGGAGGTGGCGCATCCAGCGCACTAGCACGCTTGAGCCCCAGGGGCGCCTGGCGCGCTTGGTGTGGTGCACCTCGCCCCAGCGTCGCGCACCTGGGGCCTGGTCCCCAGTAGTGCCCATCCAAAGGCGACAACCGAATATGCTGAGACTCGGGTACTACCTACGTGTTGGGAGGGCTGGTGAGAGTGAGCCAAACAGATTGCATCTTGGAGAGGTGCCTTGACCACTGCTCCTACTTGATGTACCCCCCCCAACCTGACCAGCGACACACCAAGGACAATGCCCCCCCCCCCCGCCATCCCTGTCATTTTCAATGCACGGTGCACTTTGCGGGCCCTGAAAGCACTCTGGGTTGTTGTTGTTTGGCAAGGGCGGGGGTGTCAGAACATGGCCTGCCGGGATGGCGCTACGAGGGCCCGAGAGAGACCCAGGGCTCCAAGACTGCCAAAAGAACGCCCCACGAGGGCTCCAAGATGCGATTGAAGGGCTCCAGAGGGGCAGTGCTAATCGAGGCCGCCTCTTCTTTGACCGACGTCCTCCAGGATGGTCCCAAGAAGGCTTTCGAGGCGCCCGAGAAAGCCCCAAGGAAGCCCCGAGAGACCCCTCAGAGGCCCCCAGGGGGCCCCAAAGACGCCCCAGGAGGCTCAAGGCGCCCGAGAAAGCCCCAAGGAAGCCCCGATAGACCCCTAAGAGGCCCCCAGGGGGCCCCAAAGACGCCCCAGGAGGCCCCTGAGAGCCCCCACGAGGCTTCCAATATGCCTGAAGCGTCCACCAAGAGCCCCAAAGGACACATCCCAAACGACTCCGAGAGGCATCCAAGATGTTCCCCGAGGTATCCACTTGATGCCACGCTCCCCCTGGATGGGCTGGTGGGGATTCGAATGCGCGAAGAGTGAAGCATTGGGGTGACGCCCTTCGAAGGAGAGCTTCTTGTGCACCGGCAGAGGTGACGGGCCCTGCCATGGCCCGTCGACCAGGCGAACTTCCCTGTTAAGTACGGTGAGGGCATTGGAAAAGGAAGCCTTGGATGAAGAATCCAGGGTCTGAAAGCTGGTGGAACGCCAACTGAGCCTTGGCCATGGATACCAAAGCCGCCATCATCAGATAAGCAATCCTCCAGGGTCTGAAGCCTCCCGGCCAAATTCCTCAACGAACGCCCCAGCCGTAGGCCAAACCGACCTCTGCCTCAGCCGACGCCGCTCCCTGAGCGCGCCGAGGCTGGGCCTGGGCTCGGGCTTGCACATGCCCATTCACAGCAGCGGGGCTCCGACACGAGACTACGCGAGACGAGAAAGAGAAGACGTCCACAGCTCTGTGAGAACAGTGGAGCCATGAAGCTTCCGGTGAGGCGAGGCGCCGACAACCGTCCAGAGGGGGGCCGCACGAGAGAGCAAGGCGGTTGGGCCAAAACCCAGGATGCACCCTGGGTGCCCGTGAGACTCGTGAGCGTGAGAGCTCGCGGCGGAGGAGGAATGGTGACGACGACGACGACGACGACGACGACGACGACGACGACGACGACGAGCAGCAGGAAGCAGGACGCTCGGGCAGCGGGAGCCTGCCCCTGGGACGCTCAACCCACTCCGGGACCACACCAATCGCGCGGACCAGCGCGCACGGGTGGCCGGGGAGGGGGCCTCGGGCCGCCACGAGGCCGACCCGCACAACCCGAAGGATCCTCTCTGACCAGCCTGACCATCACCCTCCCCGCCGAGGTCATCAGCACACTCGTCAGCATTTCGGGCGTACAGATCGCACACATTCTGGTGGCAGTGTATGCAGTATACTGGGTGAGCGACGGCACGAGAGAAGAACGATTGACAAGCGTATGCGCAGGCTCTCTCCCCGCCCAGCGTCCCAGAAGTAGTGCCTCTGGTACTCCTCTGACCACACCTGCACGGCAAGAACCGCAGCGTGCAAGAGAGGCGGCGCAGAGGAGACGCGGGTGTACGAAGAAGGCCGAACGAACACATTGATTCGCCACCGTACCCTCTGGAGCGTTGAGTCATGGTATGCCATCAGCTGTCTGGTAGGGCTTATGTTTTTTTGACAAGGGACCCACCTCTTCTAGTCGCAGGCTGGTGCGTGCATCGCCCCTACTCTAACGCCACGACGCCCCGTAGGAAATTATGGATCCACGTTTCCCAGGCCACGATCCCTCGTAAAAAACACAAGGTCCGCGCTCCGAGCTTCCAAGACGGTCCAGGCAGGCAACCAAGGCAACCAAGATGCCTCGAAGACGATCCAATATGGCCCAAAGGCGGCCAAATCTGGCTTCAAGAAGGTCCACGATGCTCACACGAACGAGAGCCACAAGAAGACCTCCACCAAAATCCGAAGAAACAAAACCCATTACTTTCCGTTGGGTTCCGCATGTTGTTCGCATTCTCGCCTTTACCGACTGCAATCTGCTCAGGGCGCCCCACGGAGCCTGTACGATGGCTTCAAGACGGCCCAAGAGACTTCCAATACAGCTCGAAGACGGCCAAAGAGGGCCTGCCGTGGGATCAGCCCTGTGACGGCCCAAGACGGCCCACGATGGCCAAAAAGAGCCCCAAGACGGCCGAATCAAGAAGGCTACATGAAGGCTGAAGAGGCCTCCAAGAGCCCCAAGATGGACCAAGAGGTCTCCACGACGGCCCACGAGGCATCTAAGACGGCCCCAAGACGGCCCAAAATGGCGCCGAGGATCCCACGAAGGCATCCAAAATGGCCCGAAGACAACCCAAGAGGACCTCCGGAAGCACCCAATTTGGCCTTAAGAAGGCTCTTCGACGGCTCACGACGGCCCCAAGACACCCCTGATAAGGCGAAGAGGGCGCAAAGAAGGCCCAAGACAGCCCCAAGACGTCCTAACAGAGCCTCAAATACGGCCGAGGCGAGCCCAAAGACGGCCCCAAGGGACCCTAAAACTGCCCCACAGGCGGCCAAGACAGCCACAAGAGCGCTCCATGAGAGCTTCATGAGAGCTCCTCAAGAAGTGAAGACGAAAGTTCCCGAGGTAAAGGGAGATGAGGCGAGAGCTGCTGGAAGAGGGGGTGTACTCATTCGAGGGATAGCACCAGCCTTCCTCTTCCACCTCCTCCTCCTCCTCCTCCTCCTCCTCCTCAGCGTCGGCATCGTCACCATCATCATCCTCATGATTAGTATATCACACGCAACGGCATCCCATGTCCCCTCGAACAGTCAACACACAGAATGCTGGGCTGGCACGGTGGCCGGACTTGCCGCAGGCAGCTGGATACTGATACTTCGACCTGCGCGAACATGCAGCAAGCTCGGAACACCCATCCCTCGTTATCGTTGCCCCCAAGGTCCATATCATGGCACGAGTGAACCTGGCTACACGCCCATGTGGCGTGAAGATACATGATGCGTCGCGACTTCGTTTTCGCAACGTCTGCCAGGGCCGCCAGAAAATAAACATGTTTCGGACACCAGTAGGGGACATCCGCCACTATGCCTTGGGCACGTTGTAGAGTGCCACAAGGCTCGTGCAATTGTGAAAGACGCACATGCGTACATTAAGCTATGCAGACACTCGCCCGACGCATAGCGTACATATGGTGTTGAAAAAACTCCTGCTCGCGAACCTACCCCGCATGATACCCACTATACTTCGCGAGGTGGCAACTGCGCGTTCATTTCGATGGTCGTGTTGCTGCCCCCGAAGTTGCGAGTGGTAGAGGGGTCCTACAGAGCTTTAGGGCGCGGAGCGCCGAATCGCCAGCATGTTCGGGCGCTCCCCAGCTCTCCTGAAGTGTGCCGCTGGAGCCTCCCGATCGGGCGTTGCTACCGTGCCCCCTGGCCCAAGATGCCCCCAGGATCTCCAAGGAGGCCGCCACGGCCAACAGAGAGCCCCTCACCAGGCCCCGAGGGCCCCCCGGGGCTCCCAAATGGAGCGAAAAGCTGAAAGCATCTTGGGCCAGGGGCACCTTAAGCAACCACCGACCCGAAGCCGAAAAGTGTCGACGAAACCAGAATCGTCGAACAACGATTTACTTGTCAAAAATGTGGTTCCCTGCAAGCACGCCAGGCCCAGGTGCCCGGGACCATGGCCCCAGTTCTTTCCAAAGCCCCCTCGAAGACTCCCCAGATATCTTGCGATGACCTCCTGTCCAAAAGAAAAGGCTTCCTAGTCCACCTGGACCCCCCCCACAGTAGCTGGGCTCCTAGATCCTAACGATCGCTCGATGATCTCTTTTACACTGGGTCCATAACATTTGTATCCGCACCCTTATCTCCCTCCTCCAGGACCTCCTAATTACATCACTATCCGACCCACTCGTGGACGGCAGGTTACAAGGACGAGCCATCCCAAAACACTCAACGATATTTTCGAATAGCGCGCCGCATCAAGGAACGCTACGGAAACGGCAATGAATATGAACATGACGAGGAGGAGGGCGCATTTCACCTGTGTGAGCGCCACGCCTACATGGCCATACGGCGAACAAACACCTTTCTTCCGAAGCCATCCCTCCCTCCGTGCGATAATCTTCAAACACCATGCCTCTGACAAACAAACAAAAAACACATCGCGCACGAAGTATTTGGCACTGGCATATCCGCCTTTGTGCCGTAGCGACTGACAGGAAGAAACTCCTTGGAAACCCTCGGATTCTAGATGTCAACATGTCAATGCGAGAGCCGCTTGGCGCGTGCATAGGATTCGAAACGCCTGCACACGTACAACTGTTCAGAGGTCCACGCCAATGTCTTGGATCGCCGCTGGGACATACCCCCTTCCGTGTGGATCGCGCCGGGGAACGCGCCGGAAGCGTCGGCAGGCAGTCCACCGCCGATCCAAGAAATCAGCGCGAACCTCTGAACGCTTCTGGTTACGCAAATGTTCTTCTACGAGAGCACTCCTGCTCCGCCCCTCTATCCTATCCACGATCCGAACGCTTCTCCCATTCGGCCTCGAACTTGGTCACTAACATCCGGACAGCAAGAATTACTCTACACTTCCCGCTTTGCTCCGAACCAAGCTTCAACTCACCATGTGAAATCCAGACGTGAACCGCTTTGGCGGCAACGCAACGTGACGTGCGCAGGGAGCGAAGTGGCACGCTCGGCATGACCTTCCTGGCGATATCGCGCTGGCAACGCGGTGGACGCCGGGCACGAGCTGGCACGCTCGGGCAGCAACGCTGACAGGAACGCTGGCAACAACAGTGTCTGCGCGATGTGCGCCGGGAGCGAGCATGATTGTCAGCACGAAATCATGCCTGTCAACACCCACCACACAGCATGCCCGTGAACATCGCGCCATGCCTGTGGGGGAACCGGCCCCACCCCCGCGCACACCCAATACTGTTACGCGGGAGGGGTGGGGGGCGACCGCATGTCGGATCACCCTGGCCACTTCCCAGCTGGCCAAAAAAACAACTGGCACCAATTCCAAACAACCATCTGGAACCGTACAATGGGAATCTAAGCGCAGCGCAGTTTTAAGGCGATTCCAAAACTCAGCAGCAGACATCATGAGTGCCATGGTTGGAAGTGGTACTAGGTTACATTATGACACCTGGGAGCTGTGTTGTTGTGGAACTGAACAGCGGTCGCCAATCCTGCTGGAGCTCAGGGCTGGCGTGATCGACCTGGACAATCTTCGCACGACACTTGCGTGGTGCCTGTGTAAACTGTACATGGAAATTGCCCTGTCTCCCGCATGGGAATGATATCGCTTGAGTGCAATAACTTATTATAGTTGCTACATTGTTCACTGGGTCGTAAATATTCATGGTTCCGATATTGCGAATGAGATCGATGTTCTTGTTTACCGCGTGTCGGTGATTGAATCATTATACCCGAAGGCTATGTCAATGTATTCGTTGCTGTTGAAGCAACTCTGATTTTTCATGCTCCGGTTCAAGCAAGCCGTCTGGTTATTTAATGCTATATGTCGTTGCCACTGGGGGTTCGATGGGACACGCGCCGATCCCAGCCTTCGGCAAGACCCCCTATATTTCAACATTCGCGGTTTCGCTGTAATTCACGAGAACGTGCGCCGATCCCACCCTCCAACTGCATTTGCTTACTGCTTTATGTGGTTTTCCATGGGACGTCGTTCCCCCGCCGTGCATGCATGGGGTGGGCGCGTTAGAACCCCCGCCGGTTGTCTGGGAATGTATGCAACGATTTGAACCCCCCCTTAGCAAATGATGCGTTACTCTGCTGCAAGGTTTGCTGCTGGACAACGCATCCTGCCCGAGGGCCAACGTTGTGATCTTTATGCTGTCGCGGTGGTCCTTGCCCCGGCGGGCCCGACAACGCGTGCCCGACATGGCCACGGCATCGCCCCAATCGCCCCAGTCGTCGCTGTCGGGCGTCGTTTCCCCTGGCGACGTCCCGTTTGAGCCGCCCGATTTTACGAACAAGCCTTTGTGTTTTGAGTGGTTATCACCAAAATTCACCAAACAAACAAAGTATCCCCTGAATTCGACGCTCTGCCAACGCCCGCGAAGGCGCCGTCAACGACGCCTACGAATGAACAAAAAAGCATTGTTGTTTTCATTGGTTCGGGCGACCCGAACGGAATAAACTGAAAGACGACTCAACCAAACGCCCAACTGGAAATTGCACGCAGCAGGAGAGGATGCCGGTGACAAGGCCGAGGGTCTGCCCTATCGGATCCTCAACCCAAACAAAGCACACCCCAAGCAAGCGCGGCCCCCGCGCGCGCCGCGCGCTCCTTTCATGCGCAAGCAATAAAACTCGATGGCCTTGCCGCCGCATGCTGGACAACGAAGCACCGACCGCGCAAAACATCCCGAGAGAAACCTGCCCCCGAGCGCGTCGCGCACACTCTCCAGTCAAACGAAAAACTAGTTTGCCCCATTGCCGCGAGCTTGACGGCCAGGCAGCGGGCCCACACAGCGCGCCTTGGCCGAGAATCAGATCACTCGCCGCCGCCCAAGGGGCTGCCACAAAGGGCCTCAAGACGGCCTTGAAGCGCTACAAGCAGAAAGGCCTCTCGGGCTGTCTTGGGCGGTCGGGAACCCAAGAATGCCAGAACTTCAACATCCTCCAAACACTGAATGGACAGCAATGGATCTGGCCTCCTCGGGCTCTGCTGGAGGACATATTGGAGACTTCGCGGGCCGTCTTGGGGGCCTTTTGATATATGCTGAAACCTTCTTGGGAGCCACATGGCCTTCAGAACGGCTTTGAAGGCAGCCGAGATGACGCCTAGATTCTAGATGGCCCCAGACGACCCAAGAGGCCCCCAAGACAGCATCGAGACAGATCAAGCAACCCAAAAGGCCGCCCATGAGGTCTCCTAGAGGCCCTTCGGGAGAGCCCGCGGAAGCCCAAACCATCGACATCCCTAGGCTTTTAACTGATTTGGGGGTTCTCACCTGCTTAGGGCTCCGACCGCCCAACTCGGCCCAAGAAACCTCCCAAAGGCCTCCAATATAGATCCCCAAACAACCTAAGAGGCCCCCAAAAGAGTCCCACATCGGCCCAAACGGGCCCAAAGATCGCTCATAGGCTCACAATAAGGCCTCAAGACGTCGGTGAACCGCTAAGGGAACACCAGCGCGGCCTAGAGAGGCCCCCAAGGCGGCCTACATAGGCATCAGACGGGCCAAGGAATCCCCTAAGACGGCCCAGTGGGCCCCGTGACGCCCCCACAAAGACCCCAAGAAACTGCCAAGAATCTCCCAGGTTCCCCCAGAAAGCGGGGCAAAGTTGCTGGTTCCAGGTTCTGGAATCATTTGCAACTGCGGTTCTGGGGTGATTACAACACCCTGAAACTCCTTGTTTCCAATTCCAGAAACACCCTGGAACGGTTCCAGGGTAAAAATCAATCTGGGAGCTCCCGAGATTGGGCTGGGGAGCCCAGCCGCGAGAAAAGGCTCCCAAACAAGATATGTGATTTGGAACATGACGACTTTCAGGGCCTAGTTAGCTCCTTACAGGAAGACTTATGTGACTGCTCGCAGAAAGCCTTATTGCGCTCTGTCCTCAATGGGTTCCTTACATACGGTCTTGGGCTCTTTAAAGAATGTTTGATTAGGCTCCTTACAGAAGGTCCAATTGAGCTCCTCACAGAAGGGGATATTGGGCTCCTGACAGGAGGCCTGATTGGGCTCCGTACAGAAGGACAAAAGACCTTATTCAGCTCCTCGTGGAGGGACAGGGGGGGCTCCCGAGGTTAAGCCAGGGAGCCCAGCCGCGAGAAAAGGTCCCCCAATATGAAATTCGCTCGGGCAACACCACCACCCCTTATCCCCGAGAGCGCCATTCTGCACCGGGGATGTCCCAGATGGAAAAACACCCTGGGAACGGTTCCAGGGTGAAAATCACGTCGGGTCGCTCCCGGGATCGGGCTGGGGAGCCCAGCCGCGAAATAAGGCTCCTCTTCAAGAGATATCATGTCAAAAATGACAACTGGTTGGTCTCGGGTACACCCCGGCTTATTCTCGGGAGAGCCTTCTGCACTGGGGGGGGGTCCCAAGTGGAAGAACATCCTGGAAAGGCTCTTGGGCGAGTCTTCATCTGGGCGCTCCCGAGATGGGGCTGGAGAGCCCAGCCGCGAGAGAAGGCCCCCTAACACGAGATATGGAAAATTACTACTTTTTGGGCGCGGGTACACCCCCCCGCTCATCCCCGATAGAGGCTTTTGCATTGGGGAGTCCCAGATGCAAAAACACCGTGAAACTGTTCCGGAGTGGAAATCCATCCGGGATGGTTCCCGAAGCAACAAGCGCTCTCGAGGGATAAGTGGGGGGTGTACCTGAGCCCAACGGTTAGCCATTCCAGCTAAATCCCAATTCGGGAAGGCCAGATGGAAAAACACCTTGAAACGGTGACCCATAAGGCTCTTGAGAGCGGCCCAGATGGAAAATCACCCGAGTCAGGCTCCAATTATCATCCCGGAGCGGTTCCAAGGTGATTCTGGAACAGGAAACGGGTCCCTAGAAAGGCCCCAAGAAGGCCCCAAGACGCCTCCTCATCCTCGTAATCATCTTCTCCCTCTCCTTCTCTTCCTCCTGCTCCTCCTCTCCTCCTCCTCCTCCTCCTGCTCCTCATCGTCCTCCTCCTCCTCCTCCTCCCTACCGTGCGGACGAAGACGATGTTGGGATCACGACCCGCCTCAATACAGAATACTCGTCGGAATCGCGCCGTTCCTAAACTCAGCCTCCCTCCTGCTGCGCTGTTGCATAGGCACGTTTGCGAGGTTTGCCGCAGGCAACTGGATATGATAAGCGCTAGCCCCAACCTCCTGCAGAATTCTCTGATATTCTATTGGTTGTCAAATCGGAATTCACTATGACACGCGCTGATCCCAGCCTCCCGTAGAATTCTCCAATGTTCGACTGGTTTGACAACGCGCTGGTTCAAGCCCCCGCAGGATTACATCATAGTCTCGTCTGTGTTCGGCAACAGGAACTCACTAGGACACGCGCTGATCCCACCCTCCCACAGAACTCTAAAATTTGCTTTTCTTCTTTTCAACCCGGATCGAAGTGCAAACACAGTGATCCCAGCCTCCAGCAACATTATGCAATCTGTTTTTTTTCACAACGAATGTAGTAGGACACGAGCTGACCACAGCCTTCCGCAGATTCTGTACATGCTCCATTTGATCTTGTCAACAAGAACATAATAGAACATGCACCGATCCAAACAAACCGTCGGCAAATGTTTGTATATTTCGGTGTGTTCTCAAGCCAGCCTCATCAGAGCATCCGCTGATCCCAGCCTCCTGCATAATGCTTTAATATTATGTTGTACCCCCTTATCCCGCATCATGTTTTAACATTGGATGTAAGTGTTTCAATATGCAGTAAAAAGTGAAGCGCGCTGACCCCGATCTCCCATCACATTTCTATGACGTTTTTTGTTATGGGATCTCACTCTGGGAAATGGAATCTCTGAGACACCTCCCAGTAATCTCGAAGAAATCTCGAAGGAGCTTACAAAGCGGTTGGATTTGGTACCACTTTGGTTGGAATTGGAATCAAACTGGTAAAATATTTGAACGCTGTCCCAATGCGGTTGTAATCCGTCAGATTCTCGCGGGCGCCCCCCCGTAAATGACGTTGCGGGTTCAACGAAAAGACAAAAGCATATCCTAGCTAGGTGGGGCTGTCTGTGCGCATCCCGATGCCTTACAAGCCCCTCCCCACTCCAGGTTGACAAAAACCGAACTCGGACCCGACCGAACTCGGACCCGACCAAACTTGGACCCAATTGAATGCGGACCCGACAAAGCTCGGACCCGAGCGCCGCGCTGCAGCGGAAATCCATGGGCCGAGTTCGGCCGGGTCCGAGTCAGATCGCGTCCGAGTTCAGTCCATCCCTCCCCAGACATGCGATGTCCCTGACTTTTGGAATACGCGGCCCCCTGAAATCCCGAGTCGAGAGTCGAGGAGGAGGAGGAGGAGGGGGAGGAGGAGGCTAGGAGGAGGAGGAGAAGGAGGAGGGGGCTAGGAGGAGGAGGAGGAGGAGGAGGAAAAGAAGGAAGAGGCTAGGAGGAGGAGGAGGAGGAGGAGGAGGAGGAGGAGAAGGCACAACGTTTCCTCGGAGGAGGAGGAGCCTTTCCGGGGGCTGGCTCTTCACCCCGAGTCGGCGTTGGACGGCCCCGGAGGCCCAGCCAAGGCCCCCAGGGGCTGAAAGTTCAGAAACAACAACGCCCTCATTTTGTCAAAACGCTACATGCCTGGGCCGGGAGGAGAACAACGACGACGACGACGCAGTAACGTCGCAGCGACGACGTAGCGACGACGACGACGACGACGGCGGCGACGGCGGCGACGACCGCGGCGGCGCGACGACGGTTGCGGCTGCGACGACGACGACGACGACGACGACGACGACGACGACGGCGGCGACGGCGGCGACGACGACGCCCCCCCCCCCAGGAGGCGCGCAGCGTCGGCGGAGGGCGGCGCCTTCTCCCACGCCGTGGCGGCGGGCGGCGGCGGGGGCGGCGGTGGCGCGGCCAGGCCCACCGCGGGCTCGGCTGGACTGGGCGGAGGGCTGCGCGGGCCGCCGCGGGCGCCGCCGCCGTCGTCGTCGCCGTTGTAGCGGCCGTGGTAGTCGTGGTCGTGGTCGTGATCGTGGTCGTCGTCGTCGTGGTTGTCATCGTCGTCGTGGTTGTCGTCGTCGTCATGCTCGTCGTCGTCGTCGTAGTCATGGTCGTCGTCGTCGTCGCCGTCGGCATCGTCGTCGTCGTGTTTGTGGTGACCGTCGTCGTCGTCGTCATCATCACCACCACCACCACCACTACCACCACCACCACCACCATCACCACCACCACCACCATCACCATCACCATCATCATCATCAGCAGCAGCATCGTCTTCTGCATCATCATCATCATCATCATCATCATCATCACCACCATCATCATCATCATCAACATCATCATCACCAACAACGACAGCAACATCACCACCATCCTCATAATCGTCATCATCATCATCATCATCATCATCATCATCATCATCATCATCATCCGCACCACCATCACCACCACCATCATCATCAGTCATCATCAGCCTCATCAGCCTCCTGATCATCATCATCATCATCATCATCATCATCATCATCATCATCATCATCATCATCGTCATCAATATCATCATCATCATCAGCAGCAACATCAGCATCAACAGCAGCATCAGCATCATCATCAGCATCAGCTTTATTATCATCACCCTCAGCATCACCATCACCATCATCACCATCATCTTCATCACCATTACCATCATCACCATCACCATCAGCATCATCATCACAATCAGCACCATCAACATCAGCAGCAGCAGCACCAGCATCATCATGATTATCATCCTCAGCAGCAGCATCATTATCATAAGCCAGAAAAAGGGGAGATACATTCAAGGAGGAGGGGTGGCGGATGCGCAAGGGGATGAGCAGGGGGAAAAGAGAGCTAGGATGAGGAACGCGGACGAGGAGGAGCAACACCTGGAGCAGGAATACGAGGAGCGGGAGGAGCAGGAAGACCAATGGAAGGCAGAGGAAGAGAACGGAGCAGAGCGACCACGACGAGGAAGGACTCGGAACAGGAATTGTGGGCTGCGCTTGAGCGAGAGCGCCATTCAAAAAGATAGGAGCATAGAACCGATCCGAAAATGAGGCCAACGCTGCAGCGGGAACACTGCTTTGAACGACCGAAGCCGCTCCGACAGAAGAACATGTGAACCTAAACAAACGACACTGCTGGTGCCTGTTTTGGAAACACCTGCCCCGCTTGGGCGGGATCCGGGAAACGAGGAGTCGCACTCATATGGAATAATGTGTGAAAGCGGGGGGGAGGGGGAGGATAGAGGGGGAAGGCGGAGTGGGGATCAGGAAAGGGCGGGGAAGAGGCAGGACGGGGAAATGAATGATCACGAAGGTTGAGAGGGGGCGCAAGAAGGAAATAGAGAGAGGGATAGGGGAGCAAGATGTGGGTCCTCCGTGAGCTGCACGTGTATGCGTGTATACTTGTATGTTGACTCGCTGAATGTCTGAGATTGTCGCTGGCTCCTCAGCGTTCCACTACAAGATTGCACGTGCCAAGCAACATGCATCATGTAATCACCGTGCCCCAGACGCGCCCTTGCGCTCATGAGTCGTTCGCGGCACCATGATGGTTAATCTTCCTCACGTCATGTATCTAGGCAAGCTTTGTCGTGTTCACTTGCTGCTTGTGGTGCAATCGTGATTCCCTACTCTCTTCTTCCTCGTGGCAATCTCTGCCGACCTGGCATATTATACTTGATTTCTTGACATGCTATCCCAAGGTCAATGCTTTTCGTCACGCTCGCCCTTCCTCGGGAATTGCGTTCAAGGCCACCTGGCAGGATTGTCAAACGATGTGGGATGCACCTGCAGCAGATTTGGGGAACATTAGCTTCTGCGACACTCGCCCAAGACTGGGACGGCCGCAGAACACGTGACGGCTGACGTCGTCGGGCGTTCACCGCGCGCTCCTCGGGAGAAGGCCCTCGTGGCCCCTGTCGGCAGCGCGGCACAGAGCTCGAGAAGAGAACGCGCTTTCGCGCCTGGATAGGGAGGAGGAGGAGGAGAAGGAGGAGGAACAGGAGGAGGAGGAGGAGGAGGAGGAGGAGGAGGAGGAGGAGGAGGGGGGACGAGGGGAGGGAAGAAACAAAAACAAGCGCAGAGGAGCCGAGGAGCCGTGATGCTGATGATGCTGGTGCTGATGCTGCTGCTGCTGATGATGAGCAGGGCAGCGAGGCAGGCGGCGACGACGAGGGCGAAGGCTCAGGACGGCGACTGAAGGAAGGCGGGGGAGCATGCGAGGGGGGGAGACAGGACAAGGCAGGAGGATTGGGAAGGAATACAGGCAAGACGGGTTGAATGGCGTTGCTCAATACTCGCCGATGTGCCCAAGCAGGTGCAAGCTTTGAGGGTGATTGCGCGCTATGGGTGGGCATGGTCTTGCACAATGCCTTTTGGGAACATTGGAGATACGAGGACCCCAACAAATGACCGTATGCTGCATCATCTCGGACCCCCGTGATCGCCAAGCGAAGGCGAGGCCGCCTGACACCTCGGGAGACGGACAACATGCCTGGCCTCTTGTTGTGTTCTGGCGATGCTCTCTCTCTCTCTATGTCCCTCTTCCCCTCTCTCTCACTCTCTCCTTCGTTCTTTCTCTCTCTCTCTCTCCTTCTTTCTTGCTGTATTCGCAACCAGACCTGAACGGAGTGGCGGGGGGTCAAACCAGCTCCCCCAGAGGGGGGCCCCAAAGGCCCCAAGAGGTTCCCACGAAGTTCCAAAGAGGCAACCGAGAGGCCACCGAGAGGCCCCCCAAGAGGCCCCCAAGCGCCCCCCCAACAGGCCTCAAGAAAAGCCCAAGAACACCGAACACGCCCAAAGAGGCCCTGCAGAACCCGCAAAGGCCTCCAAGAGGCCTCCAAGAGGCCCCAAAAGGCGTCCTCAGGGGCCCCAAAGAGCCGCCAGGAAGCCCCCCTAAACGCCCCAAGCGGCCTCCAAGAGACCCCAAGATACATCCCAAGAGTCTCCAAGAGTCATCCACGAAGCCGCTGGCCTGAGTCAAACACAGTTCAGCTACGCTGGTGAGAGGTGCCGCGACAGCTGGATACACAAACAAATGCATCTCGCGTGCTTCGCAGCACAAATCAACCGTCCAATGGAACAGGTTGGAAGGTGAACCAAATGGATTGTGAAAGATACATGAGTAGTTCATGTACCGCTTCTACATACGAGAGTAAGCTTAATTCGTGAGGAGATGCACGGCTTTGTCACTTATCTGCGCTTCGTCCCCCTCGCAAAGGAGGAGCTAATCCTCCAGTTGCCTGGTCGGACTGTTCAATGGATCATCTATGCGCTATGCGCTGATGTCCGACCGCTTGCCCGCTTGGCTATTCGTACTGTACCATTTCACTCGTGCGCATGTCTGCTTGTATCCGTGCGCGCCGCACGGCTACAACATACGAGTGTGTGCGTACGTGCGCACGCGAAGCTCTCCTCAGAGCATCACAGAGGAACAGGAGGAGGGGAGGGTGAGGGAAAGGGCAACGAATAGGAAACAGGAGACAAATAATACTAGTCAGAGGAAGGCAGAGCGGAAGAGGGAACGAGCAAGGGAGAGGGCGAGAGACGGACAAACGCAAAGAGCGAGAGAGAGAGAGAGAGGAAGAGGAAAGCAAGAAGAGCAAAAAACAAAGGTGAGGAGAGGGAGGCAACGCGATGCCCCCCAGGGTCTGTGCGCGATCCTCGACAGCTCCGCGCTGAGGGAGCAGCGCGGGCCCAGAAACCCGAGCGCGGCGTTGGCATGCGGAGAGCAGCGAGGGACTTTCTTCCGCCGCCGCCGCCCGGCCGCAGTCCGCGGGGCCGCGCTGGCAAGGGCCCGGCGCGGAGCCACCGACCTGGCCTGCCTTGGGGGGGGCAGAAGCTCCGGGGCCCAAAACATGTGGTGACGGACCGCGTGGTGACCTCGGAATGCCCAACGACCTCACCGCTGGCTCCGTCACTGGAGGCCCCTGGGGCCCCAGAGGCCCCAGTCGCCCGAGACGTCCTCGGAGAACGACCCGAGTCCCAAAACCGTGCGGTGACCCCGAATCCCTACTGACTCACTCACTACACGGTGTGCCTCACTGGCTGGGCCCCCCTGGAAAAAAACACACACCGATGCGGCCACTCCTCCGGGCTCTCCCGAAAAGCGTTCGCATCAGACTTTCGAGAAGGATCCAACCGTGGTCCACGGATATATTCTGCCAGAAAGCCCTCGCCGCCGCAGGCGACGAGGGCTCTCCAGGACGAGCAGCGGCATCGGTAATCATCTGTTCCTCCTCTCATGCCTGGCGCAGTGGGTGCCCGCAGGGAAGACCCTGCACCGAGCGGTGAGCCAGTGCCGCGCAAGGGGTGCCCTTCGCCACCACGCCGGGCGCGCGGCGCCGGGGGGCCTTGCGTCTGGCGCCCTGCGCTGAGCAGGGGCCTACGACCGCGCCCTCCGCGTTGCCGCTGCTCCCGCCCCTCCCCCCACGTCGCGTGGTTCTCTTCCCTTCCGGGGGCCAAGGCCGCTCGCTCCGTCCAGCCCCAATCTGGAGGATGAGGAGGGGGGGAGGAGGAGAATAGTAAGAGGAAGAGGAGGCGGAAAGCCGCTGCCCGACTCGGGGGCGTGGTCCCCCCGCCCGGCCCGCGACGCAGGGGCGGGGGGTCACGCAGCGGGCGACAGGCTAAGCGCGCCAACCTCCACAGCGAAGGTACAACGCGACGCGCAGATCCATGGCCGCGCATAAGAAGAGCGGCTTCGAGACTGACCTCCACGAATAGGTCTCCGGCAGCCTGCCGAGACGCCTCCGAGCGAGCTTGCTCGGATGGGATACGCAGCCAGGAAAGGCACTTGCACCTGGGCGCACAGTGTGACCAGAGCAGCAGCCGCCGCCCAGGCCAGCTGCTACCGTAACAACCAGCCCAGACAGGCAAAATACATTGTCATTCAGGTCCCAACCGCTTCGTCACTTGCATGTCCGCCAGATATCCGGAAACGGTACAGCACGTTACGA